TATATAAGAGTCATCTGGCAAATGACCTTGACATTGCAGTGCTGTAGACAACCGTATCATGCAGTTTGAGCAATATCCACACTGAGCATCATGATGTGTTAAGATATCAGGGAAACATATGGTTCAGCCAAGTCCAGGGAACAGAGAACATGATCATGAGCGCTCCTTCAACGACAGAACTTTTGGGCTTGTTAAAATGTAAGTCTTCTATCTCAAGACTCGCAAAACCCAAACATAATAAGTTACTTCCAAGAACTTCAACAAATGCTTCTGTGATTCAAATAATTTAAATACTCTCAAACTTCAGCCACAAATACAATGTGGCTAAAAAGAAGCCAGCCGGTACTTTAGGAGAACACGTCCTTTGCACGCCAACACTGGTAAAGTGCTTACAAAAGTCGAAAGTCTTGACAGTTTGGGGATTCAAACCCACGATCATAAGTTCCTGGGATACCTGAGATCCACAACACTGTACAGCAAAATGGCGCCCTATACAACATGAATCTAATCCTGGGCAAGACTTCCACTCGAAGACGTGACTTTGATGCTGCAATATGTCAAGAACTCCTAGAAACGATTTCAGACAACAATAACAACGGAATGAGAACTGGCTGGACCTCAATAATCAGTGGAAAATGTAATTTGAATATTCAGTGTTACCTGTAGACCTAATCTAAGGAAACGCAATTTGGAAAATAATTCACAGAAACGTTCCAGACGGATGCTGATTAAAGATAGAAGTGGGATAATGTTTATCTTTCAGTAAATCAGTGTAAGGATTCTATGTTTCTTCAACATCGGATCCGTCCATCATAATGGCCATGTCTGGCCACATAGAGAACCCTAAAAACTTTGTGGGAAGATGATTTGTCTGAATATCAAATGAAATGCTATTTAGTGAAATGTTGATGTCATTAATAGAAAAAAGAATTATATTTGAACATCTGCAGACAACTGTTTATAAGACTCACTTCAAACATCCTAACTTGATATCAACTGAAACAATATATTGGTCTGATTGCCAGCATTGTGGCTGCAAGAAATACAATATTCAGGTGACACCTGTAATTATACATAAATGCAATTACAAACTCACAAATAGTCAACGATAGAACAATTAGTGAATGAGTATGGTTTTATGCAGTTTTAGCAATACTCAAGCAATATCACGGCAGGCGACATCAGAAATGGGCTTCACACACTGTACCCATGTGTGGAATCGAACCTGGGCCTTCAGTGATCCGGGGTAGACGAGTTGAAGCAACTAACGGGCTTAACGAGTTGACAAAACAAGACATCTTCATGAGTACTGTGGCATATCTGGTTAAACGAAAGAACAAGACATCTTCATGAGTACTTTGGTATCTGGTTTCAAAAATTTAATAAGATAGAAAGTCCACAAAATATTTCCTTTCAGGATTTTACGAGATGTTAATACTTCAACTTGTCACGCAAAAAAACTCATCGTAATCGTTTCTGGATGAACTTGAGATTTGAAAAACATCCTTAAAATGTCAGAATTTGTTTTTCCGACTCTTTTTCGCTTCAAACAAAAAACTGAAACGAGAATTGTAAACCATTCAACTAAATTGCAATCCTGATATTTTCAGCTACTGTACCACAATGGAAAGATGGAAACTATTCTGTGAGTGGGCCCACTTCCTCCACATAATGCCCCCAGTTCTCATTACACGAACAACATTCTATCTCTGATGTCAACACATAATATCTACCAAAACGTACATTCTCCAATGTTTCTTTTTACAGTGCGTTGGACTTTTTTGCGAATTATTTTCTCAGGTCAATTGTAAATATTTCATCAAGCAAACTTTTTTTTTTCAATTTGCAGATCGGAAGGTGGCGTGTGTATGCATGGCTATCCCAAGACAAACACAGTTTTAAAAAATACTTTGAGGAGCAGACTGCGATTTTCACTGACATTTATCTGTTACACACAAACCTCTGAAATTTCAAATCTGGAATAAAACAGTTGTCATAAGTAACCTGTCATTTGTATGTAAAGCTTCCCAAATCGTTCATACAGTCCCACTGGAACATACATAATGGTTATGAGGTGATTGTGTTTGGGGCTGGCAAACATCTGTTAACTTTATCCTGCAAGATGTCTAACCACTGTTTGATAAAGGTTCACCAGTAAACGCTCCCACAAGGAAGTGACATTTATTTGTGTATGAGAAGAGTTTGGGATCTTGGTGAACTTAATATTAGTCTGACTATAATATATTAGTCTGGCTGATGAGGAGGATGAGACATCTCAGGAATACATCCTGATGAAGAAACAGTATCAAGTTTAATTATCTGGTGTTTATCAATTATTTCTCTGAATGTGAAATCCACCTCAATATTAAGTGTTAAGTTCAAAGCTGGAAAAAATGGCATTTCAGATGTATTTCGACCTCCTGGCCTAATGTGGGAGACAATCCAATGAAGAGAAAGTTGACATTTTCATGTTGGGCGGAACTCAGAGACGGACAGATGATTTTGATTTGTGATATCGGTGTATCAATATGATCGACCAAAATCGTAATGATTCTGCCAAATTACATTGTTTGCCTCCTCCAATGGTGCTGAGATTCTATGATCATAATAATGGTTAATCACAGATTTGAAAACCTTACAGCTGATGCAGTTAAGTTTTGTGAAATGCAATGCGGCTGAGCTTTGTCCCAACAATTAAAGGTAACAGTAAAGACAAGAGTGAGTGAGTGAGTGAGTTTAGTTAGTTTACGCCGCACTCAGCAATATTCCAGTTATATGGCGCTGGTCTGTAAATAATCGAGTCTGGACCAGACAATCCAGTGATCAATAGCATGAACATCGATCTACGCACTTGATGAGTAAGTATGGTTTTACGCTGTTTTTAGCAATATTCCAGTAATATCACAGCAGGGGACACCACAAATGGGCTTCATACAATGTCCCCATGTGGGAATCAAACCTGGGTCTTCAGCGTGGTGAGCGGATGCTTTAACCACTAGACTTGCCCACCTCACCTTACGCACTTGAGATACGATGACATGTGTTAACCAAATCAGCAAGCTTGACCACCCCATCTCGTAAGTCTACTGCAACCATGGGTTACTGAAGATAAATTCAAACCCGGATCTTCACAGGTGTAAAGGCAAGATACTTCATTGATAACATCTGTATGTCATTAAAGATGCAATGTCTGGAATAGATGGACATTGCATCATTATAAAACAAACAATTGTCGTTTGTAAGGTGTCTTTCTTTGTCAATCACCAACTCCTAAATGCTATGAAACAGATGACTAAAGAGGTACGATGCACTCCGGTTTTGGGCCTGAGTTTTGGGTACAATGTTGTATTGTAAAATCTCAGCATGAAACATAATTTTGGTACAATTAGAGAAATCTTTTACTGCAAGACTGACAAACATATCATGAGATTTGAAAAAAATGAGACTGAAATTATTTGAGGCAAATACGTTTGGACAGTCATTTACCTTAGTTCAGTCCAACTTTAGAACAATTACGTGTATACAAACCCAACATAACTGACAACAATTTCCCTTGGTATATAACCCAGTAACAGTTGACTTCATACTGGCATTTTAAACGTAACCTGTGCACAAAACCTTGTTAATCCAAGATTATCTCCCAATGAGTATATCATTGGGTATCACAGAGTATCTCTCAAGGAAATCATTCACATTTATTAATCTCCAGATTAATGAGTCCTATAAATGACCAAATAATGACCATCCAGTTGACAGACTTCCCACAAACAGAATTCTGAATAGTCACCTCAGAGGGAGCGTCTGTGTTCAAGAGCAAGACAATGCCAACTTTTAAAACCATTTACAGGTGAAAATATTTGGCCTTGATTTTTAACCTTGACTCTCAAAGACTTTGACAGCAAATACTGGACATGCTCCTGTCTTCAACACAATACCACAGTAAACATATCACTGAACATTCATATGATCAAAAATTGTAATGTAAAAATACACCCTTATTCAAGGACAAAATATACTTCATTCTATAAAGGAAACTTCAACAGAAAATGTGCAATTATGATTCATTACATGATTTGTTTTAAATCATGTTATGCAAAACATTTTTTTTTAAATTCAATAAATATAATGTGACGAACATGTTATCTAGGGGGTCAAATTGGTGCCTGTATGTTCGGTTAATTATGACAAAATACTAATTTACATGTTGCTAAACAGCCCATTCTTAGAAATATCATACAAAAGAATATTCAAATCATGGATGTCCAAAAAGGCTTGTATCCTAACTTTCTCTCATCCTACATTAAATTAAAACGTGGAATGTTATTTTATGGAATGAGTCAGGGAATTTGGTTCAAACCTACTTTCTATTTTGTATGTATAATTTTCAGATCTTCTTAAAAAATAAAGTATTTTATATAATATCACTTTGAATGAAGATCTAAGGACAGCTCTATAAGAGCTTACATGACACTAAATGAAAGAAATCTCAGCTTTCAAAATTCCTTAGAGTTCTTGAGGTCCTGATGTGTCCCCTTTCTAAAATGCTCACCATGGAGCATAAACATGTCATGGTGAAAAAATATACCTACAACCATGGCCCAGCTTTTATTTTCGCATTCAGAGTGAGTGAGAGAATTTAGTTTTACGCGGCTTTTAGCAATCAGAAACCCTTGATTAAGTTCATTTTAGAGATACAGAATTTAGATGTACTTGTCTGAGTGCTACACACCATGACACTGACTGGCTGATCAGAAAGGTCACCTGGTTTGAAAACCTTTGCAGCAGTCCTCAGATCTTCAGTTCTCAGACTTCAAAGAGAGGTATCTTTCTGCAGTGACAGATCTGATGTGAATGAAACTGCAATGTTCACATTTATCACACATTTTTCTGCTGAACACAAAGTAATAATGAATGATGTCTTGGTTTAACAAGACTTACATACTTAATGAAAACCTTCAAACACAATACATGACATTAGAATATAACAATACTTAGATGTATGAACAAATATTTTCTTTAATGCATGTCAAAATAAAGGTGATAAAGTAACATTTGTATACATGAAACATGAATTTTGGTTGATTTTATGACATTTCCACTCCTTGATCATGACACAAATTTACCTGAAAAGTCCAAAATTTAACATGATTGTACTGACAAAGCCTGGACATGCAATAACCCCTAGCTTAGTATCAGCTGATGTTTTGGAGACTGAAACAAAATTGATGATTCTTATCCATCAGTGGACTTCCACATATGACAATCTATCACCTTTCTGACTGGCTGAATCCCCTAGAAGTACCACAAGGCATGCCATTATGCATTCAGTTTGAATGACACTGAAGCACACTATGGTTAAAAATATTTGAGCGCTAGCTAGTTTGGAATGGGTTTAATAAGACCCAAAGCAAATTAAGGGTTTGGAATGAAACAATGCTTAAGTCAACTTAAAAGCTATGAATACCAAATGATAAATACCTTGATAAAACACACAGAAATTTACTCTCAGTACAACCAGTCAAGCAGACACAACTGCGCAGGAAACAAAGCAACAGTCAATAAATGGATAGGACAATATGTGAAAAAATATGCTTGAAACACCGATCTTATCAATTAACTTTTCATGGAAGCAAGAATAAACCCATTAAGTGCATTTCTTTCACTGAAAGCCATGTAACCACTATTTTCTACAATTAATTTTATTAAAGCAATAAATTCACTACATTTTGCATGACAGCAAGGTAACAAATTTTGTGTATTCCTCCTTACGAAAGCAAAGAAACATGGTTGTGGAAATACCTTCAACAAAGCAAGGAATCACATATTCTGGGCACCTCCTTTCATGAAAACAAGAAAACACACATTTGGTGCATCCTCTTTCATGAATGCAAGAAAACACATATTTGGTGCATACTCTTGCAATAAATGCAAGGAAAAATATATATGGTGCATACTTTTTCATGAAAACATAACAACATATTTGGTGAATAATCTTTCATAAAACAAAGGAAACATATTTGGTGCATACTTTTCATGAAAGTGAATAAACAGTACATTTGGTCCATATTGATTTTTAAATCAAGAAAACATAATTAGGACATTCTCTTTTATAAAAATAAGAAACGAATACTGCCTTCTTTGACAAAAGCAATCCAATATACCGAGAGCATTCTTTTCATGAAAGCAATAAAATACATAGCAAAGTGTATGCTCTTTTTCAGTTTGAGATAAAAATGGACGGTACTTAGTTGTAAAGAAAAAGGTGAACACTTAACACGTTTTGTTCGGTTGTCTAACATAAAAATAAAACATTATTGGCACTGAATAACACTTTGGACGGTTGTGTTAAACTTAGGCAAAACCTAGTCATTTCTTTCAAAAATATACAATTAAACAGTAAATACATGAAAGTGTGGGGGAAGGAAACATATTTGGTGCATACTTTTCATGAAAACAAATAAACAATGTATTTGGTCCATATTGATTTTTAAATCAAGGAAACATATAATTGGGATATTCTCTTTTTTGAAAGTAAGAAACCAATACTGCCTCCCTTTAATAAAAGCAGTCAAATATACCGAGAGCATTCTTTTCGTGAAAGCAATAAAATACATAGTGAAGTGTACTCTCTTTTTCAGTATGAGATAAAAATGGACGGTACTTAGTTGTAAAGAAAAAGGTGAACACATAATTTTTTTATTTCTTTGTTTGTCTAACATATAAAAACATTGTTGGCACTAATTAACACTTTGGACGGTAATGTAAAACTAAGTCATTTCTTTCAAAAGCACACACTGACAGTTTAGTTTTACGCCGCTTTTAGCAATATTCCAGCAATATCACGGCGGGGGACACTAGAAATGGGCTTAACACATTGTGCCCATGTGGGGAATCGAACCCGGTCTTCGGCGTGACGAGCCAACGCTTTAACCACTAGGCTACCCCACCGCCCCTCAAAAGCACACAAGTAAACAGTAAATACATCTAAGTCTGGACGGTATTTCAGGTTGTACAAAACACAAGATAAAAACAATCATACATTCATGAACTGATGAAACTTTGATGAGGTGGTCTCTGGAATTTATGCCCGAGTTAAAATGATCTTTTCTAGTCATTTTACTTAGTGACATACATTTTTTCCTCAAACAAAATAATATTTTTTTCTAGCATTTTTCAATATCAACACTGCCAACAGTATTTTCTGTGTTTCTCATCTCACCCTGAATTTTACATTCCCATGTAAAAAATATAAAATATAATTATCTCAATTTTACCTGTAACTGTGGAATTTTATGCTGTGATGTGATAAAAAATACTATTCCTCTGCACAAACCAGGTCAGCATTTATTAAAAGCTGTTTATGATACATAGGGACTTGATCTCCATTATAAATGGAGATAAACTTAAAGCCTATTGAAAAGAAATCTAAATTCTAAAAATCATATAAGATAGGTTACACAGTTTGGGAAAAAAAGATCCTTTTGTATCCCAGTTTTATTCTTGCCTGCATGCTCTCTTGGTGCTTGAGGTAGAGGTGAGAAACACATACACAATAATGGATGGGCCAAAGAATAGAACTTCAGAGGAATTTACTCTTTCTCTTCCAACATATCCAAGGAAGTGACTGACAGCAGCTTCATCATTGATAAGGCATTAAATCCATCAAGACATGTCTCTCGAACATTTATAAATAATAACATCCTGAACAAACGTCAATATCAATTGATAATATTATTCTAAACATGACCTCTTGAACAGACTTGAATTGATATTCTTCAAGTGCAAACATGTGAAATCTTAGTTAATGACACCAAACTTTGTGGTTTCTACATAACATGACACATATGAAAGTTCAAATCTGACATCAAAGGGTGGAGACTAGGACTGCATTTTGATACTTCAAGATCTCTAACTAAATCAAATGGTGTTGGATAATAATACGATTATACAATCTTGTATAAATGAATGACTGAATATTCGAAATGAAAATATTGGAATGCAGACAAATTGTAAACCATTGCACACACAGTCTAGAAATTCATTAGAACATAATACTTCAATAAATTTCTGAAATCAGTACATCTTTGTACCATCAGTCACCAAATAGTACCAACAGTACCAACTATTGAGGGCAAAAATCAGTATACTTGGATGCTGTCATGAAAGATGTTTCATTGGCAAGCTGATTATGTTTGAAAATGGGTGGTAAAATTCATAATTAATAACCTCATCTACTTCCATTGTATATTACCGGTACATTCAGATTTCTATCTCACACTAGATTTTAACACCCCAAAAGCACAGACAAGTAAAATAAACTTTTTCTAGTTCAGCAATAATTACAATTTTGAGCTTTTATTTCATGATGCATATAATCATCTTAATTTCAATTTCATCCTTTCCCCACATTAACAATTAACGACGAAAAATGTCAAAGCTTTCACAGAAAAATTGAACATATGTACCATTAACATACTAAAATGCATTTTCAGTCAAAATGACCTGAAGGCATTTCAAGAAATGTTACTGTAAGAAACTGAGAATGAAGGTAGAGTGTCCTCATATTCTTAATAACAGATTCTGATGCAAGAGAAGTTTCTGCCAAGCCCCATCTTGAGGGTTGATGTTTTCCTTGTAGCAGATCCATCTGGACCGGGGATGTCTGGAAGTGAGGGTGTGGCGATGTCACCCATATGTAATACTGATCACAGATTGCACGATGATGATGACTTCATCTCCAAATACGACAAGTATTGTCTTTGCTACCTGCAAATAAACATACGGAATCAAGTAGGAAGGATAACAATATATGGATGAACAACTTCTTTATTGCTGTGAGAGTCAGAGGCCCAGATAAGCTGCGTATCCGGGTAAAATACGCATAGAATTATGCATTAAAAAGTAATTGTTGCATACCAATTATGCATTTAAAATGTTAGATACGCAAAAAGTTTAAAACAAATGTGTACGGAATATATTTATAAAAATCACTTGCGTAATGAAAACGGCATCGATTGCTATCAAGTTGTACTGTTAGTATAGGACAAGTGTTGTACTGTCAGTAAAGGATGAGTGATTTTTTATGAAATAATTTCCATTATATTTAAGGTTTTTTTTATTAGGTCATTCTCTTCCCACAGAGGTTACTTGTCATATCTTCCTACGAACCTCTGTTCTAATACGGCCATATTTCCCGGTTCTCGTAAAATCCCCTAGCGGCAAAAGATCGCAACACGAATTATCTCCCTTCTTTCTATCCAATCAGAACACGTGTTACATCGACTTACATTCAACTTGACTAACACAAGCAAATGTGGGGCCACAAATATCCCCCCATCTGCCGGGGACTTGTGTTGATGTTACACACAAGACGTTTAATGGCTAGCTTGTCCGTTGTCAACGAGGGCGATGGAGACGCCACTGATCCGCCATAACATGACTGAGTTCTGTCTAGAAGAAACGTTTGCGCATCACGCAGGGGAAGAGGTTTAGTTTTCTCTAAGCATACAGAAATTACCGAGGCCTTGCGAATGATCACTTTTGAAACAACGTCGCTGATTGCACAACTAAATCTGATTGCCTCCAATCACGAGTCTTGAACACTCACACCATGAAAGGGCCGTATTAGAACAGAGGTTACGTAGGAAGATATGACAGGAGTAACCTCTGTGGGAAGAGAATGTGATTAGGTATGACATAAGGCAGAACATACCTGCTTAGTAAACTTACTCAATGACGTAATACTTAGGTGAGTAAAGTGACTGAAATACGCACATATTTGAAAGCAGTGGGTAAGGGAAAATGAAATACCCATTCAACATTCATAATACCCACTCCAAAAATATACGGTGGGTACAGTACCCACATGAGCTAAATCTTATCTGGAGCTCTGAGAGTGACGTTTCGATGACGTTTCTAACACTGTTATCACTTCTAAATGCCTCTCACAGGAGGGAGTCAAGTAAAATATACATGAATTTGCACTCTAACTTCTTGACTTCCAAATATTAGCATCAAAAGTATCCATACTTGAAATTGATATTATCCTTCAGCCCTGGGTTGATTACCACTTGTCATTCCAATATTTGTAAATCAAAAGGTAAACGTGCATATTTCAACTGAACACAAAGAAATTTATTCGGACCTTTGAAGCTTTGAATTACACAAATATGTCAATAGTTTGTATGAAACTAATCAGTGGCTGATTACTGGATTGTCTGGTATGACTCGATTATCTAAAGACCTCCGCCATGTAGCTGACATATTGCTGAGGGCGGTGTTAAACAACAAACAAGCAAACAATAATGGCTGTATCTTTGTTTCTTTCTTTGTCCTAAAGATTTTTTTAATTTTTAAATGTCTGAAAGAAGGGTTGTTGGTTTTTAACTTAACTATATGCAAGTTGGTGACCAAAGACAATTATAAAAAATTTGCACAGAAAATTTGTTGGTCGAACTCTTGCTAATCTTCAAACATTAGACCGCCTCCATGGTGTAGTGGTTAGAGCGTCTGCCCGGAGAGCGGAAGGTCGCGGGTTCGATTCCCGACCGCGTCATACCAAAAGACGTTAAAATATGGTACTTGTTGGTCCCTGCCTGGCGTTCGGCATTAATGGGTACATCAAGGACTGGTCGGCTCGGAGTCAGTATAATGTGTCTGAGTGGGGTATTCGTGCTTCACTGCGACATGGTATCTCAGCTGGGCTAGCACTATAAAACCAGCTTTAGTCTGGGCTAGTACAAGCAGCCGCACATAAACATACACACGCATGCACGTTGTCATATGAGCGAAATATTCTCAAGCACGACGTTAAACCAAATTTCACCTCACCTCAAACATTAGAATGCAGTTCGTAAATCCTATTGCTGTTATTGACTGAAGAAAAATATTTTTCAGTATCAATTTTTGAAGAAATTCGGCTGAAAAACATATTACATATATGTATTTGATAACAATCTAAACAAACTGGCAAACAATTATCAGAACTGAATCTGGAGCCCTGAATGAACTTTTGTCTGGAATGAGACCTATGAAATGGTGAGCTACCTGTTATTATTGTATTTCCTTCATAATTAAATGCGCAGCTGAATATCTCGTCTGTGTGGCCCTCCAGGACCTGTTTACACACTCCAGACTCGGAGTCCCACAGCCTCGCTGTCTTGTCCGAACTGGCCGTCAGTACTGAGGTGCCTTGAGGGTTGAAGGAAGCCTGAGATAGGAAACAAAACCACTGGATACAATTCAAGTGTTACATGTTGGAGGGAACAGCAATAGAATGCAATTCATAATTGGCCACTAAGGCATCCAGTTTTGACTCGTGACCTGTTGGGTATCTGTACAAGTGTGTGTTGGTTGCTGAATACTATACTGAAAAATATTCCACCTCTTTTTGTTCGTTTGTCTATTGTTATAAACTGCACTCAGCAACTTTCCAGCTATATGACAGCGATCTGTAACTAATCGAGTCAAGCCAGAGATCAACAGCATGAGCCATCGCTCTACACAACTGGGATACAATGACATGTGTCAACTAAGTCAGAGACCCTGACCACCTGATCCCTTTAGTTGATTCTTACAACACTGACTGACTGAGTTTGGTTTTACGCCGCTTTTAGCAATATTCCAGCAACATCACGGCGGGGGACACCAGAAATGGGCTTCACACATTGTACCCATGTGGGCATTTGAACCCGGGTCTTCGGAGTGACGAGCCAAAGCTTTAACCATTAGGCTACCCCACCGCCCCTATTCTTACAACAAGCATGAGTTGCTGAATAGGAATTTGAACCCAGATCTTCATGTGTGTATTCCACTTCTATGAAAACGTTATAATGAAATTTGAGCCCGACAATCCAATGATTGATACTGTGAACAATCGTCTATGCCGTCAGTGTTACACTATAGTCTGTCTGCAGTGAAAACGTACCTATGAATTTCACTCTAAACAAGAAAGTAAATCGAAAAAAGTGAAATTAAGATTGCGAATCCTCATAATTTTACCTTGCCAATTGAACATTCAAATCTCAGAATTTTATTCAACTTAGGATAAAAGTTGTTTAACAAACGATCATAGTTTCAAATCGCTATTATTGGTTTGTATTACAAGGGGGAATGCACTTTAAATAAAACACCAAGAACAAGTAGGGTTGGTCTAAGTTAACGTACCCCCTGCGCATTTGTTTCACTGTTCCCTCTACTGCGCTAAACCAGGGGTGGAAATAACTTTAAAATTGCTAGTGTACTCTTGTACAGTGGCACATGTAAAATCACTTGCCCTGATCATTTTTCCACTATACCGGCCATTTTCTTGTTGATTTTTTAAATAAACAACATTATTAACATTGGAAAGTCAACTGGACACCTGTACAGCGTGATATACAAATTTGCTTGCCTGACAAAAAAAGCACTGGACTCGGACCTCGGGCAATGGGTTATTTTCACCCCTGTTAACACGGCATTTTGAGTGAATGCTTTAACAAGAAGGCTATCCCACTGCTGATTAGAGGGGTGTGATTGTGGGATTGCTTCACCCGTGAGCTGCTCACCTTGGAGATCTCCCCTTCATGCCCCTCAAGCTTGCACATAAGGTTGTGAGTGACAGAGTTGTAGACCCGGGCAGTTCCGTCTGCCGATGCCGTCAACAAGCTCTGTCCAGTGTAGTCAAATGCCACATCCAAGACCTCGTCGTCATGACCACGGAGTGTCCCAATGCAACGACCTGTAAAGAGTAAGTTTTGGTCAACACTGACACATCAATAACAAAGCCTGAAAACAGTGTAAGAATCGACACTAAAACATCACTCTAGGCATTAAAGAGGTGAGGTGAGGTGAAATTGGGTTTAACGTCATACTTGAGAATATTTCGCTCATATGACAACGTGCATGCGTGTGTATGTGTATGTGCAGCTGTTTGTACTAGCCCAGACTGAAGCTGGTTTTATAGTGCTAGCCCACGGAGATACCATGCCACAGTGAAGCATGAATACCCCACTCAGACACATTATACTGACTCTGAGCCGACCAGTCCTTGTTGTACCCATTAATTATCCCAGCGCCAGGCAGGGACCAACAAGTACAATTTTTAACGTCTTTTGGTATGACGCGATCCGGGATCGAACCCGCGACCTTCCGCTCTCCAGGCGGATGCTCTAACCACTACACCACGGAGGCGGTCAGGACTTAAAGAAGAAGTTATCCACAAAGTGGTATGATTTATTATTGACTAACTAATTTCTACAATGCCGATCGAACAATTAGCGGTATCATCTGAGCTGACAAAAAGGTGTTTCTAAAATTCAAACCACTCTGGAGTGTAAGTTTTCCTGCATTGTGTACAGTTCATTAGGAGGGAAATATTTATTTTGTAACACCAATGTTAGAATTAGAGATTTCAAACAGATTTAGTTCAACTGCAGGTTTTCCAAAACTTTAAGATTTGGCATTTCTGGTATCCCTCCACCTCACAAGCCACAGGAATGAATACCTACTACACTGGGTGCTCCTTCATGAAAAGGCATTATCTCTTCAGTTAACATCATCAGCTGTGCTCAGTGTGAATCTATGAGAGGGTATTTGCTGCGACTAGCAACATGCCAGTATTTTCATGAAGAAATACCCCAATTTCAGACTTGTTCAGACTTTTCACACCAGAAGCTCCCAAACAATCATCCCAAAGCCAATACTCTCCTAGCATATTCGATTGTCAGTGGTCTTTTTTATCAGTGTGTGAGTCGACCTTGTTTATATAGTTATCTTGGTACATTCTCCCACCTTGCATTGTGTAAAAATGTTCTATCTATATATATATTCACTCTGTGCACTGACTCAGCATTCACCTGATGAAGAAGCAACAATTACCTCAGAAACGTCCTATGAAGAATAAAAAGAAGTTGTTATCCATAAAAATGTGTCATGTCTTCATGTTGGTCCAACTAAATGCCTTTCAAGAACTTCTTGCATATGTTACAATGAAGGCATGTTACTGCTCCCCGTCTTCATACAGCAAGATATGGCCAGATCACAAAGGATGACTCTTGCTGTCATGAAGTTGATTTAATATACAGTCAGCCATAGTTGAAATCCACCGTCCAAGGTCAGAAGTCTTTCCTTTACCCATTCCAAGTGTCTGTTCGATACTAATAACCCCAAATTCCACATTCAATACTTTTTTCAACATTGTTTACTGCCATAATATTTTTCACCCATGTTATTTTTAAAAAAAACCAAAAGAACTATGCAAAAACCGAAAGAACTTTGCAGAAACCTTCAGAGTAAACTGTCTTCATGATTCGGCTTCAAGAATTGTATTGATACCGAGAAACGAAAGTGTGACAAGATCCTGTTTAACCACAACACCACCCCCCTTCCACACAGAAGAGTACTTGACAGATTATCAAAGTAAACACATAAAAAACATTCCTTTTCAAAGAGCTAAGTCGCATCAATGAATTATTCATCCACTTATTTGATTAATGGTTTGCAATGATCAAGAGGTCAACATGTGAATGTCATTTAATTTCACTTTCTGTGCAAAGAAACTTCAAAGGCTGTTTTCTGTCAATCCTGTCCACTCGATAGCACTCATCCCTGCGTCAATAGGCAAACAGTCTTCGCCTGCTGCAGCAAAATACCAACAATGTAACAGTTTCATGATGTCATGGAGCTAATGGTGTAGTTGCCAGGAAATCACTGACCAATTATTCCTGCCCAGTAAAACTGAAGCTAACTGCGGATCATTATGTAACATACAGAGTTTGTGAGTGAGTTTGTTGGGTTTAACGCAGTAATCCATTTGTGTCACCACTTACATATTATATATATCATGATTTATATATCATTTATATCACCATTTATATAACCATTAATATCACCATGTATATGTGTATTTATATCACCACTGATATATCCATTTATATCACCACTTATATATCCATTTATATCACCACTTATATATCCACTTTACCACCACTTATATATCCATTATATCAGCACTTATATATCCATTTATATCACCACTTATATGCCCATTTATATCACATGTATATCCATTAATATCACCACTTAAATATCATTTCAACAAGTGTTTGCCACTGATATGGCGTTGTCCCCACCGCTAAAGAATGGAATATCTATATTTACTACTTTTTATTTTTTGGTCACATAAAAGATGCCTGAAATGACTGGTGTCTGCATAATCACCCAATGTAGGCTGTCAACATAATTGAAAACATTGGGTGCAATATTTTATGAGATATCGCGTTTAAATAAGTTTAAAATGTGGTCAGAGTGTCGTGGTGACCTTGAAGATAAGGTCACACAAATTGACTGGTGTCTGCGTAATCTTCCAGTAGAGACTATCACCACATTTAAAGACATTGGGTGCAAACAGTCCATAACATATCGCGTCAACAAGAGATAAAAGTGTGCAAAGTGTTGTGGTGACCTTGAAGATAAGGTCAAGGTCACCCAAATCAATTGGTGTCTGCGTAATCCCCCTATGTAGGCTGTCACCAAATTTGAAAACATTGGGTACAACAGTCCATGAGATATCGCTTTAACCAGAGTTTGAAAAGTGGTCAAAGTGTCATGGTGACCTTGAAAATAAGGTCAACGTCACTTAAATCGACTGGTGTCTGTGTAATCTCCCAATGTAGGCTGTCACCAAATTTGAAGGCATTGGGTATAACAGTTCATGAGATATCGCGTTAACAAGAATCGGGACGTACGTACGGACGCCGCTGAATACATAGTCCCCCCGTTCCGCGTTGCGGAGGTGGACAATTACCACTTGCATATCCATTATATCACTACTTATATATCCATTTTACCACCCAATTATATATCCATTTATATCACCACTTATATATCCATTATATCACCACTTATACATCCATTTTACCACCCAATTATATATCTATTCATATCACCACTTATATATCCATTTATATCACCACTTATACATCCATTAATATCACCACCTGAATATCATTTATATCACCACTTATACATCCATTTTACCACCAAATTACATATCTATTCATATCACCACTTATATATCCATTTATATCACCACTTATATATCCATTAATATCACCACCTGAATATCATTTATATCACCACTTATATGTCCGTTATATCACCACTTATACATCCATAATATACCACCAAATTATATATCCATAATATACCACCAAATTATATATCCATAATATACCACCAAATTATATATCCATTTACATCACCTATCATTTATATTAGCTATATGGCGGGGGTCTGCAAATAATCAGGTCTGGACCATACAACCCGGTGACTGCCACCATTAAAATCGATCTACGCAATTGGGTTGGAGTACGATGACATGTTGTCACCCACTCGTCTGACCACCCGATCCCGTTGGTCGCCTCTTACAACAAGCATGGGTTGCTGAATATCAATTCTAACCTGGATCTTGACGGGTGGTGTTTGTTAGTATTCCAGGAGGAAACGACCAGTTCTACTTCCCTCACTTATGAGAAAAATCAGACTGACAAACAGTTTCCTCGTCCCCAAAACTGTTTGCACAATTGGCATTGTATCTGGGGGTTATATTTGTCATATTTCAAAATTTACAGTATTCAGTAGGATTTCAGAAAAATCTGAACTCGGCTATGAATATCAATGTATCACAATATTCATTAATATCAATATCTCTGTGATATAATGGTACTCTATGAGAATCAAGCTATCATTATCAGCACCCACATTGATCAGTGACTTCATCATGTTTATGTCTAACAAACCCATAGGCTTTTAATCAAACCAACTTAGAGAGCTAGATCATTAGTCTGTTCATGTATACTTGAATCTACTGAACCAAACTTGTGTATCAGCATTTTCGGATTTTACTGTTAGCATACGGCCAAATTACATTTGACACCAATGACATTAGATAAAAAGAAATTGAATTGACATAAGACTTTGGACAAGCAATTTAAGTTGCTGATTGGGCTAATTGTGAGTGGGAACTTCACAATGATATAATACCTAGACACTTATCATCGTTTCTTTTTATCCATTCACAAGCAGCATTTGATAACAGCATCACAAGAGTTACCTCCCCTTTACAGGTGCATTTCAATGGCCACCAATGTTACGTTTTTTCATGCATTATATTGCAACAACAAGATGTACAAAGCTTACTTCATATCCTTGTTAAGAAATACTCTGACTTGTATTACATTACCAACAGATCAAATTTTAGTTAAACTGTCAAAGTCTATTCAAAGTCATTTAGGGTTTATTAAATACAGATTAAATAACTGCAAAGGATGTAATCAAACTGTCCATGAATGAAAGGGGTCACTCAGCATTCTATTTCACGAGGCACATTTTTAAAACATTTCAATGCCAAACATTTTTTATCTCCAAATGAATATTGAATGTGGCAGAACTTCTGCAGAACGACTGACAACATAATGAGTTGAGTTGGGTTTTATGCCACATCAGCATTATTCCAGCCATATAGTGACGAGATCAAGTCTGAATTCATACACATTTTAAGTACAAAGTATAAATTAGTTTTATTTTGAAAACATATATTCATTACATTATTACTTGAAAACAGAAAATGTCGTAGCACCAAATTCAAAAGCAGGCAATTTGTTCACATTACATATATACAATTTATTGTACAGGTCAACTTCCCTCAGGAAGCTAACAATCAGATGCCCGCTGACGTGGGAAAACAGATCTTTCAGATTTATCGCTTCATAATGTGAGTCCCTTGCAGTCGAAAAGTCCACGCAGTGAAACACTTCATCGCATGAGACACACCTAGGAGGTCCATCTACATCCGTTTTCAGCAGATAGTCATGTGTAAACTGACTGTGGCCAATACGGCATCGTCGTAAAACTACCATGTCATGTTTTGACTGACAACCAAAGTAGGTATAACCAGTTGTTGACTTCACTTCATGAAGTTTATTTCTTCCTACTTGGGTGTCCCAACATTTTGAGAACATAACAACAAAAGCATAACGACAAAAGGTTCCTGAGAAAATATAACCTGGAAACATTACAGTACTCCATCACACACAGAGTAGAAATTGACTGTCCACGGGTTTGTATGGTCAAGATTAAAATTTTAAGACTTGTGTTGTAGTGTCGGGAATTGGTTGAAATCTCACAATTGATGATTGCTTCATTACCAACAAACAATCATCGAAAAAAAATTGGTTAGTGTCATTTTTCAGATTTTCCTTTCCAGGGCCCTTATTCTCGAAACGTTCGTAGCCCCAAGAACTCTTAACTCTGATCGTAGCCAATGTGTTAAGAATGGGATTAAGAAGTTCTTAGGACTACAAACGTTTCGAGATTAGCTAGCCAGGCTGTTATTGCAGATCTGTATAACATGATGCAACTTGCTACTTTACAGTGATGACTAATATATCATGCACATAAACTTTCTCGAATCTTCAAGAAATATTCAGTCATGACTTTTCACTTAGTGAAGTGAGTTTTCTAACAATTAAACAAGTTTTCAAGCCCTGACAACTTCTAGGATATGTTCCATCGTCAAGTGTTTCAAACACTTTTACAGTAGTTGCGAAATTGTTTTTGTTCGATTATGAGAAAATGTGATCGATTGCTTGGTCATTTGGTCACTGCGAGCAATCTTCGATTATTTCATCTAATCGGAAAACCACTATTGTGTTGTTGCTGGAACAAGACTGACTGAAAATGTGAGCATAAACTTCCGCCCATCTGTGTCTGAGAGATATCTACCCTCCCAGAATATCAAATATACTGTAAAGCAAGAAATTTTTACTCTTGATATTTTTGTTAGTGGCGACCAAAAGACATTTTTGCGTCATGACATTTTTGCGACTTGCCCACTTTTCCAAAATAGATTGCAACTGAAAGTTCTACCTAAACTAAATCCAATCACATATTAAAGGTTGCCGCTAATCTTGAACTGAACACAGTAGAGTACTTCCATGTGTATGCAGTCAGTGATGTTTTTCTGAAAACAACACACGCTGCTGCAGAGGCCATCAACACCCACTGGAAGGTGTCGTCCTATCAAATGGTCTCTAAAGACAAAGAGTGTGTGTTGCGTGGTTGGCGCCTGTCTGGACTATCATACGTACTGATTGAGCGACTTTCGTTCAAGTATCCAACCGCCTCCGTGGTGTATTGGTTAGAGCGTCCGCCTGGAGAGCAGGAGGTCGCAGGTTTGATCCCCGACCGTGTCATACCCAAAAACGTTAAAATATAGTACTTGTTGGTCCCTGCCTGGAGCTTGGCATTAATGGGTACAGCAAGAACTGGTCGGCTCGGAGTCAGTATAATGTGTGTGAGTGGGGTATTCATGCTTCACTGCGGCATGGTATCTCAGTGGGTTAGCACTATAAAACCAGCTTCAGTCTGGGCTAGTACAAGCAGCCCCACATACACATACACACGCATGCACGTCGTCATATGAGCGAAAATATTCTCAAGTACGAGGTTAAACCAAATTTTACCTCACCTCGTTCAAGTATCCCTTGTTTGACATGTGACATGTGAGTACTGTGTTTGACTAACAAATTGTGTGATGATATTTTTGCGAGCTCAAGTCATTCGCAATTTTTGCAAAAATATGATACTTACAAACATTTCATGATTTACAGTATACTATATTTGTAGAATGCCTACTGTCCGCCTTAAAGATGCTCAGTAGCCTGAAGGACAAATTATGCACTAAGCGCAGACATTTTAAACCCAGTTAACCGAAACTCCCTGTGAGAAGCTGCCAGGTTAACAGTCATATGATCAGGGATGGAAATAACCCATTGCCCGACGTCTGAGTCCAGTGTTTTTTCCAGTCGGGCAAGCAAATTTGTATATCACGCTGTACTAATGTCCAGTTGACTTTCCAATGTTAATTATGTTGTTTATTTAAAATATCAACAAGAAAATAGGCCAGTATAGAGGAAAAATTATCAGGGCAAGTGATTTTACATGTGCCACTGTACCGGTGTACACTAGCAATTTTAAAGTTATTTCCAACCCTGCCATCTTTTCCCACTTGGTATCCATTAACAGCTGAGTGAACAGAGGCAATTTTTAACAAACTCACTTGCCTAAGGGACCGTTCATAATTTACTGACTGACTGAGTTTGGTTTTACGCCGCTTTTAGCAATATTCCAGCAATATCACGGCGGGGGACATCAGAAAGGGCTTCACTCATTGTACCCATGGGGGGATTCGAACCCGGGTCTTCGGTGTGACGAGCCAACGCTTTAACCACTAGACTACCCCACCGCCCCTGTTCATAATTTATGGCTGGGGGGGTGGGGGTGGGATTAGGGTGATGATGATGATTTTAAGAGGGGGCACCCATTTTGTTCTGGGAAGCTAGCGGGATCATCAATTTTTTACACACGCACTAGGGGGGTCAGCAATTTTGTACATAAAAGTATGTTTAAAATTATGCTTAGAAATTATGGGAATGAGATGGGGGGTCATTGATTTTGTAAATGACATGCAGGGGTTCACTTATTTTGTACATAAATTTTAGGGGAGGGGGGTGTGTCATTCACACTGTACATGCTTCTCCATAAAAATCATCATCACCCCCCTAGCCATAAATTATGAATGGTCCCTAAGGTGAGACCAAATGTGTCACTTTTTGGGGGGGTGGGTCCTAGAAACTCTCAGGAGTCAACGTTACTGAACTATAACTGACTTGTGACCTGGGTTCTATGCCAAGAGCACACACCACCACTGTCTGACTGTCAGATACCCCGGTGTGTCCTAGAGAGAACAACCCTCCCTGATATTGCCTGTTAACTCCCACCTGTCTGAGTGTCCCAGATCTTGCAGGTCTTGTCCATGGAGCCCGTAGCTATGAGGGAACAATCCCAGTTGAACTGAGCACTGCTGATTTCGGCTTTATGGCCGATCAACGTGTGGATCCGTCTGGAACAAGATACAATGATTTAAAGATTGAATGAGTTTAATTCAATATTGTAGTCATTCATTGTCAGCAAAAGTTAAGAGGGGAATGAATACAACTGAATTTATTTGATTGCTGCATTCTGACAAATTTTTGGTACCCACTTATAGAAGCATCCATCTGAATCTTACAGTTCAAAAAATTATTATGCATCGAACCCAAACCTGTCGTCTTGCATCATTTGGATGAACTTTTGATGTTGATACATGGCTTGTTGTTAATCTGATTCTTGCATTAGTCAGCCTACCAGACTTCAGCAAATGTTATCAAGCTGCTTCTAGAGTGTTAGAAAATAAATATTTCTAGAAATTCTTAAGAGGCATAACTTTCAAGAAATAATCTCTGAGAATATAAAGCAACTCAAACTGTCATGTGGGCAGTGGTTGAAGCTTGCATTAAGGTAAAGTGGTGCTTGTCATAACCCTAAGAAAGAAGCAATGGTCATCATGATCACTAGGTCAGTCGGTCAGTCGGAGACCTAACGTGTACATGAGACAGCCTATCCTCTCTTTTATACAAGACAGCTTCCCATCTCATTATGCAAGACGAGTGCAGTCCACTTATACTTAGGGAATCAACTGACATTTAATTCAATCGTTAATTCAATCTCTAATGCAACCACAGTAAATATGCTTGAATGTGTAGAATCCTGAAAAGCATGATGATTATTGTGTGATGTAAATATTCCAGAACCTTCCAGATCACTGATTGGCCGATTTTGTTATTTACACCAAAAATATTACCAAAATGCACCTTGTAGCCTTTAAGTATATATGTTAATTCCTTGTAACGAAAGTAATGATAAGTACTACGGGCATATAATATTCCCTGAAGACCCCCCTTAATTTTGAAACGACATGCCTGAAAGAAATTGCTTTTCAGCCAGTGTTGACATCAGTGTTTCCGCTGGCATTTTTTACAGCTGGACATTGTGACCGGCTAGCATTTCAAAAACCAGTCATCTGTAACTTTTACCGGTCAAGTGATCATACTTTTCATTGTGAGCGACCTTGCACCCTAAAAATCAATCAGAAATGTAGAGGGTATCGCAATGTGTCTGTGCCGCTATTTTTTAGCTTGGGGTTTTCCAAAACTGCTATTTTTTATTTGACAACACCTCAATGTCATTGTGAAATCATATTCTTTTTCGACAGGAATTAAAATTGATAGAGGTAATTAGAAAATTTATTTTGAAACTTGTCGGACACGATGACCAACAGCCTTCGAAATTACCGGACATTCTAACTTTGTACCAGTCAAAGTCCAGTATATACAGGATAACGGAAACACTGGGCGTAAAGACACCTAACATGTACATCTGCGTTTTGCTGTACGCATTAACTAATATGCACCTACCATGACACCATGCTGTTTACAGAGACTAGCCAAACCCACACAGTGTGTACTGTCTATGTACCTAGCTGTAGAACAAAGAATGCCTTTTGTCCTGCACTTATTGTGTTAATGTGTTCAACACAAATGGACACTCCTGCAGCCGCTCCTACAGTGCAGGACCCTCTGCCAGTAAGTACAAACTGTTGTGGGAGACCAAACCACCCACTCAGCTGATAATCTCTTAAACTTTCTATATGAACCTGGACCAAGTTCAACAAAGCAATCCCAGCTCTACACATTGTGTACGAGTCAGTTATAGTGTGGGAAGTATGATCTGGGTTTATACAGCATGTAAAAAACTGTCAAATGTAAAACACAAATGAGGTTTTGAAATCCGCTGGTGTTGGTAAGCAGTTTTTTTGATAAATCAAACATACTTGCCAACCATGTTTCTTTTATTTGCTTGTGTCTTTCCTGGTAAGGTATCATTGACTGATTCAGTTAACCCATTTAATTAGCCTACTCAAGTCCAATTAGCAATATATTAGCTATCAATTAAGCGGTGTGAACAGCATACTGCCAGAAATGGGACTGACGGAAATCGCACTGCAAGAAATGGGACAACGCGCTTGACCAATTAAAAGGTGTGATAATCTCAGCGCCAGAGTAGGTGAGTGAGTTTAGTTTTACATCACACTCAGCAATATTTCAGCTATATGGCGGCGGTCTGTAAATAATCGAGTCTGGACCAGACAATCCAGTGATCAACAGCATGAGCACTCACTGCCAGAAATGGGACTAAATCAACTCATGATGTGAAGAATAATATAGAATGAAATTACTGACATCTGAAAATGGTAATTTTTTGGGAGTATTTTATCACACTGCGAATAAACTTACTTATTCTTGAATATCAAATGTGTTGGGATGGTTAAAATGTCCAGCAGGCAGTTCCTACATTTCTGGCCAGGGACAAAAATACCCATTGCACAAGAAGAAACAAATAATATTTTAGCAATGTGTTCTAATTTTTAGGGGCGGTGGGATAGCCTAGTGGTTAAAGCGTTGGCTTGTCACATCGAAAACCCGGGTTCGATTCCCCACATTCTTACAATGTGTGAAGCTCATTCAAGGGTGGAAATAACCCATTGCCCGACGTCCGAGTCCAGTGTTTTTTCTGTCGGGCAAGCAAATTTGTATATCACACTGTACCGGTGTCCAGTTGACTTTCCAATGTTAATTATGTTGTTTATTTAAAAAATCAACAAGAAAACAGCCGGTACAGTGGAAATATTATCAGGGCAAGTGATTTTACATGTGCATCTGTACCAGAGTACACTAGCAATCTTAAAGTTATTTCCACCCCTGCCATTTTTTTGTGTCCCCCGAGGTGATGTTGGTGGAATATTGCTAAAAGCGGCGTATACTCACTCACTCACTCTAATTTTTAGAAAATGAGCAAAACTTGCCATGGGTTGGTAAGAATAAACATTATCTCTTTTCCTGTCATAATTCAGGGGCATTTCACTAAATCAGTCCAACATTCAAAATAACAATTGCAAAAGAAAATATCACCACATATTCAAGAGATCTTTCTGTGCTTTTGCATATCAAGAAAGAAAAATGTTGTCTTCATTCAGAAACATACATGTACTCTCAAAGCAATTCATTTTGTTCGGCTTCTTGTTTCTTTTGTTTTGTCTTTAGGTGAATGCCGCTCTAGGCAATATTTTAACTTTGTAACAGCAGTATCAAGTCCGGATGAATAATCCCAGGATTTACATCATGACCATGGATCTACGCAACTGGGATATGATGACATGTGTCAACCAAGGCAGTAATCCTGACCATCCGATCCTGTTAGTCGCATCTTAAGACAAGCACGGGTTGCTGAAGATCAATTCTAACCCGGATCTTCACAGGTTTCAAACCAGGTCAGACCCAACATTATAAACAAATAATCAAAATCTTTTGATCAATCTGAAATACCGAATCAAAGAAATGAGAAAGGAAAGGATGTGTTTGGGTGAGATGCTTTTTTGTTCTTTGGGGAACATAACACAGAAAGTTTCCATTTCTCGGGAAGAGAAGAGATAAGCAATAAGTATGAAACAGGCTAAGGAAAAACTTCATTGGTAAATATAGTGTAAGTACTGATAAACAGATGAAGATTCTACTCACTGCCCCGAGCGTACATCCCAGACAGAAACTGTGTGGTCAAACGAGCCGGTGATGAGTTGGGAGCCGGTGGAGTTGAAGGACAATGAGATGATCTCAGCTGAGTGGCCCTGAAAGAAAGACATCCTGAGTGACAGGTTCAAGCAGTACAGCCGACAAAACAAACCAATTTTATTGATGAGTAACCGAACAAATCATTTAAAACACATCCATCCTGCAGCATTTTTACCTTCCTGCAGTCAGTTCTGATAATCATTTCAAGAAGGTTACTTCTGGTAACCAATAATCAAACACTGACCACACATAAAAAATAAAACCGGGCTATTTTTATTTGGTTGGGTGATTGGTTTGTTGTTGAACCCTATATACTACACTCAGCAATATTCTAGCTATATGGCGGCGGTCTGTTAATAATCGAGTCTGCACCACACAATCAAGTGATCAGCAGCATGAGCATCGATCTACACAATTGGGAACCGATGACATGTGTCAACCAAGTCAGCGAGCCTGACCACCTGATCCCGTTAATCGCCTCTTACAACAAACTAAGAAGACTTACTGAAGATCAATTATAACCCGGATCTCCACGGGTTGACATTTAGTAGACAGATTATCTGAGAGCAGTTGACCTTGAATACAGCATGTGAAACACACATCTTCCCAAAACCTACCTACAAATGTCTTTCTGGCCACTGAAAGGAATTATTTCTTTGAAAGTAAATTCCAAGGTATTGTCTGCACAAATATATTCAAGTGATTCAAAGACTCCATTTAGCTTTGAGTGAGTGAGTGAGTGAGTTTGGTTTTACGCCGCTTTTAGCAATATTCAAGCAATATCACGGCGGGGGACACCAGAAATGAGCTTCACACCTTGTACCCATGTGGGGATTCGAACCCGGGTCTTCGGCGTGACGAGCGAACGCTTTAACCACTAGGCTACCCCACTGCCCCCATTTAGCTTTGAAAAACACAAACCCGGGGGTACATATCACATAAACATTAAGATTTATATCTTCATGCACCAAGTGCATGCATGCAAAAATATTCTTATCTGTGATTAACTCTTTCTTGTCCACACAACAATGACCTATAACACACTGGTTATCATTAAGCTTTATGTACCATGATTCACGACAAGCCGGTTAATCCCTGAGTTGTGTAATTTGTCATGTTGTCCTGGTCTTGATGCCCTTAAAACTGTCAGTACTTAAAGATTATGATGTTTCTATTATGATTCCCAGTAAATGTCAAGAATCACGACAGTCAGTGATTTGATATTTTATTTTTCAGACTCATCTATGAATCCTTGTTTCAGGTTTGATGGATTTATGTAACCAGGGTCAAACCTGTCTATTTCAGGTGCAACTAGGTCTTCACATCAGCATGTACCAGGTCTGAGTTAAATCGACCGATATCTAGCATCACTATGATATTTTCCCATCAACAACATTACTTCTGCTAAAAAGACTGAAGAATGTTGCGACACTGAACTCTCTCTCTGTTTTTAGTTGGTAAAAGGCGAGAGAGTACAAATAACATTGATACAGCTTATTGACCAATAATTTCCACTTCTAAACAAACTTCCTGGATCAAATACAATCAAATGAAAATACACAGAAAGATTGCAACACATTCCAATCACTAAGATGACAGATGATACTCGCAATTAATATTTGACATTACAGCACGCTTCAGCTCATCCTCCATTACATCCTGAAATCAAATAACCAGCCATGCACCGCTGATAGATTGTTTGTCAACAAGGGAATAGATCACACAGCGTTTTCCTTGTGATGGTCTAGTGGCTGGCAGAAATTACTTTTTCATTACAGAAATTGCATGTTTAGAAATGCCCTTCCATTGATGGTAGGAGTTTGTCGGTTTTTCATTAGTTTTATTCGAAGACACTCAGTCCAAATCATTTGACAATTTGTCGGCGCCACCATTATGGAAATGGAAATATGAAGGACATGAGGGTTAGTGCTTGGGGTCAGTATGTATCAACGGCTGACTGACCACATTGCTGTGCTAGCTCTGTGTCCTTATTGCCATTATTCATATTATCTGTGATTATTTGATGAATACACGAAGCCATTATTACAAAATGCCATTTAGAAAGTGGTCAAATGTAACATATGTTATATTTGGGATTAGACTTTTTTAGTAAAGTATTGATTCTAGTACTTTTGTAGTATCTGGGATCAACCCACACTCTCAGAGTCAGGGACCCAATTGCCAGCACACAAAGTCAGCCATCTAACCCACTCAGCCTCCACGGCTTATTTGATGTGTGGTCAGACCATTTTAGTTTCTGTTTTAATGAATACTTTGGTCAAAAAGCCAAACTCTAGTGGAAACACAAACAATGAAATAAGATATTAAAAGTGTGAATTTGAAGTTATCACCTGAACACATTTAGAGCAAATTGTTTCCATGGAAACCAAGAAAAATAACAAGAAAAACTTGTGTCCAGGGACACAGATGCCTCCGCTGCTGTAGGAAGAGTTCCCTACACTGAGTGTGCTCTGGTGATTAATTTCTACTAAATAAATATCATGATTGATAATAAAATAAATATATCCAAAGTGTCAAAGGTAAATACTTATTTGTAAATGTATGTCACAATGAACTTACCACAGTACAATTAAACCTATATCATGAAGGTTCGTGGTACAAGGGTAAATAAACTAGCAATAGCAATATCACTGTGGAGGCAAGAGAAAGCGAACCAATTCAAGTTCAAACATCTGTAGAAGTGACAAAATTAAGAAACTGAATGAACAAGGTATGAGATGCACACCTTTAGAGTCCCAATGAAACACACATAGAAAGCCAATTCTGTTGAGCAGCTTTTGTGGAGAAGTGGATAGACTTCACCCCCTACAACACTATATTCAGAGAGAAATTCAACAAAATTTATCAAAGTTCAAACGGCATTAAAATTGGAAAAATAAATAAAATACAAAATCAAAATATGAGATGCACACCTTTAGAGTCCCTATAAAGCACATGTGTAATCTAAATGAATTCCATAAAGTAGTTTTTGAGGAGAAGTGGATAACGTACACCCCCCTGTTGGATGGAACGAACAGACTGAATAGAACCAAATTCAACTAAGTTCAAACATCTGTAAAAGTGACAAAATTAAGAAATTGGATGAACAAGGTATGAGATGCACACCTTTAGAGTTCCAGTGAAACACACGTAGAAGCTCAATCAATTCTGTTGAGCAGCTTTTGTGGAGAAGTGGATAGACTTCACCCCCTACAACACTATATTCAGAGAGAAATTCAACAAAATTTATCCAAGTTCAAACGGCATTAAAATTGGAAAAATAAATAAAATACAAAATCAAAATATGAGATGCACACCTTTAGAGTCCCTATAAAGCACATGTGTAATCTAAATGAATTCCATAAAGTAGTTTTTGAGGAGAAGTGGATAACGTACACCCCCCTGTTGGATGGAACGAACAGACTGAATAGAACCAAATTCAACTAAGTTCAAACATCTGTAAAAGTGACAAAATTAAGAAATTGGATGAACAAGGTATGAGATGCACACCTTTAGAGTTCCAGTGAAACACACGTAGAAGCTCAATCAATTCTGTTGAGCAGCTTTTGTGGAGAAGTGGATAGACTTCACCCCCTACAACACTATATTCAGAGAGAAATTCAACAAAATTTATCCAAGTTCAAACGGCATTAAAATTGGAAAAATAAATAAAATACAAAATCAAAATATGAGATGCACACCTTTAGAGTCCCTATAAAGCACATGTGTTATCTAAATGAATTCCATAAAGTAGTTTTTGAGGAGAAGTGGATAACGTACACCCCCTGTTGGATGGAACGAACACTGGCTGAATAGAACAAAATTCAACTAAGTTCAAACATCTGTAAAAGTGACAAAATTAAGAAATTGCATAAAAAATTATGAAATGCACACCTTTAGAGTCCCTACAAAAGACATGTAGACGTTCACTCAATTCTGTTGAGCAGTTTTTGTGCAGAAGTGGATAGACTTCATCCCCTATTACACTATCATCATAGAGAAATTCTGCAAAATGTACCTAAGTTCAAATGTCTCTAAACTTACAAAAAAACAACAATAAAATATGAAAAAAAAAAAATATGAGATGCACACCATTAGAGTCCCAAGAAAGCCTATGTATAAGTTCATTGAATTCCACAGAGCGGTTATGGTGGAGAAGTGGATAGAATACATTCCCTGTTTCGTACGGACGGACGGACACCGAGGGTAACCCTATATGCCCATATATGGCGGGGGCATAAAAATGCCAAAAATCTGCAAATAGCAAAAGGCACCACTTTAGCTTATGTTTGATATATCTACCAAGTCTTGAAGAAAGATATTGAACGGTTTTCGAGTTGTGCTCCGGAAACAAAGGTCACCCTCATTTTGAGACTAAGTTCAAATCGTTTCCATGGAAACCAAGAAAAACAAAAATGACAAAAATCTGTAAATAGCAAAAGGCACCACTTTAGGTTCTGTTTGATATATCTACCAATTATTGTTGAAAAATATTAAACGGTTTTTGAGTTATGCTTCAGAAACAAAATGATTATGGATGGACGGACGGATGAGCCGTCGACTAATATTATCCCCCCTGCATTACATGCTAAGGGGGATAAAAATTGGCATAGTACACCGGAAATGGGCTTGACACTTACAATAGCTTGTAACTATTTGTAGAATTCAATCTTGATTTTTGGTGTGATTGGCAAACAGGTGCTTTGGTTAAAACATACCTTAATAATTGAACCCATTCTAAACCCACACCAAATCACTGTTTGACATTCCTCGTGAAACAGAGGGTGAGTTTGGTCTTTTAGTTGTTTTCAGCAATGTTCCACCAATGTCAAGGGTTTCACACTCTTAAAGATCACATATACTCTAGGGGGTACAAATACATAAATCACTAATTGGCATCGTTATAAATGAAACCCCGTCATTAAAACTACTCATTTCGTTCATTAATTAACTTAAATCGACCTTTTTGACAACAGTGTACAATTCTCAGCCGCGAATGAAATTTCAACCAATCAGAGCGGCGCGTAGATATGAGGACCGAAAATATCACCAGTAGTTCTTGTCTGATTGTAATAAAGTATCAAAGCAGTGTGGGCTTTTTCAGGTTTTCTTATGCCTGGATGGTATAATGACTGATCCAAATTGATCCCATTTCTGTGGGTTTTTTTACCTCGATATTTAATCATGTCAAAAATTGACATTTGATTTATTTGAATCCATAAACTAAACAACCCTACTTTGCCATTGCTAGAAGAATCTGAAAATTTACTTAAATAGGTAAATAGGTACATACAGTTTAAGCACACAGCAAATGCTTATATGTATTTCTTATGCAACAATGAAGTTCTGTTCGTATTCTCAAAACAGTGTCGGCCCGTAAGTTCTCACATGCAATTAAAATTGCATGCAATACAGCAATTAATACTCCCTTGTTGTAACCCGTGTTTGGTGGTAAAAACCTACACGTTATTTGTCATCATTCACGATGGTCAGTTAATGAATTTATAACAGGTATAATTAGTGGTAACAAGTAGTGGACAAAGGTTCCCATTTGACATTTCTTGTGTCTGGAGTAAATACTCAACATCATAAACATCAATCAAAGGATTAACCGATAACATGCTGATTGATTAATTACTTTTATCTTACACAGCGGATTTGTCAAAAGGTAGTGTTTATGTATGTAGATTTGCTAATCAATACTGAATACACTCTGTTGTGTCTGTGTAAAAACGTCCTTCTTTCAAAGGATTAACCACCAATACATTGATTGGTTGTTCATTATTGGCTAACTAAACTACTTTTTTTTTACAAGAATGGCGGACATTATGCAATTAGTTGCCAGGTGTGCAATCTTGGGTGATGAGACTATACACCAATGTGAAATACCTGAAACGATAAATCAGTTTTTCATATATAAGAAAGACACATCACTTGGAACAGCTGCAGATGAATGGCATATCACTCGTTTTTGTGGATATTGATGGATACATTCCTCGAACAAGGTAATAGCCTGACATTGTTGCTATAACTTTAATCTGTTTTAATTTTAATATTTGCATTTTGTTTTTATTCATTTGTCGTAGCATTCAACAGAATCATGGTTTTCGCTATGAAGTGTAATGAGACAGACAACACACACTAGGGCGTATGTGCGAATTATGATTCACATTGGCAAACTATAAAATGTCTAGATTTTACAGTCATGTTATAAATTCACTGTAAGTATCAGTAGATTGTCTGCTTTTTATTTAGTTTCAAAATGCATACAAGTATGATAATAAACTAATTAGGATTATAAGACCAAATATAAAGATGCAGACTTGCCTACCCCCTTTTAAAGAAAATAGTAAGATCAACTAAAACAAAAATAGTAAGGCAGGTGCATTTGATAGTAAAGCATGTTAATGTCAAGAAATAAAGGAGAAACATAACTGGTTATAATCTTAATATAGTGTTTAATAGTTAAATGTGGCGCCGATCTAATTGACATTTTTTAAAGTCTTTCAGTTTGAAATAAACTTTACCAGCACTGTAAGATGCAAAGATTATTTATATATAATGTTTTTGATGCGACTTCTGTTTTCAATACTTTATGTACTGTAAATGTCTCTGTAAATAGCATGGGCATGTCTATATCTAGTATTCTACCACTTATTTTTAGAAGTCGTAAGGAATTTCAGTATGATCGTAAGGTCGTAATTTAGCACAAAAAATAGTAAGCCTTACGCCAAAATCGTAAGGATAGGCAAGTGTGAAGACGTACATTGACTAGTATCTCAGGTGAGTGGATGTTAACCACGTGAATGTAGCAAGAAATTGATCGTGCAATACTGTCACTTCGACCCCCACCTCGCTTCCGTGGAAGAAATCGTTATGTTACAAGTTGTGTCATGCAAAACCTTTTGGTCATGATTCAAATACATATTTAACTACGAGTAGAAAGTAGTTTTGATTTTCTAACTTGATGAAAACAAACCATAATCTCATTAATTCTAACAGACTTTAGCCCGTGACTTTACGATTTTCAAAAATGGCAGCGCCCTGTCGCGAACATCCGCCAGTCTGAGGATAAATGCTATTTAGGTTTGTTTTCACCGAGTTACAAAATCAAAACTACTTTCTACTGGTAGTATAATATGTATTTGATTGATGGCCAATAGGATTTTGCATGACATAGCTTGTAACATAACAATTTCTCTCTTGGAAGCGAGGTGGGTGTCAATATAATACTACTTACAATATTATTGTTACTTCGACCACAACCTCGCTTCCAAGGAAAAAATCGTTATGTTACAAGTTGTGTCATGGATAATCTTTATGGCTATCAATCATATACATATTTTACTACAACTAGTAAGTTGTTTTGATTCTTTAACTTCCGTGAAGCGATCTGAACACAAGTAAGATATCGTTTCGGGCTTCCAAAACACTTGCTTCGCACTCACAAACATAACCCAATTAGCACGAACAGGGGGGTCCTGTGGAAATCTGTGCATGGTGACACCATCGCCCGACCCCTAGGAGCAATTGACGACAACGCAAGGTTTTAGCATGTCTTCGTTGATGGCGAGAAAGCATCAATATGACGAGTTTGCTACACACTTTATATTCAACTAACTGAAAATCCTTCCTCACATGACGTCACTGCAGTGTTCTGGCGACAGGTTTACGTAACCTGTCTGTGGTTTCATTGGCGGGCGAGAGTGAAGCAGGCGACTTTTTGGCAACTTTTAATCGCTCGGTATTATTTAACCACAAGTTTTTTAAGAATGAATTTGGTGTTCCGCATAAGACTAACCACAAATCTTTCATATGTAATGGTTAATTTTAAAAACAAAGTTTATGTGTTCTTTAACCATTGGGCTACCCAAGCAACCAGACCAGACAAGCCCAGACGATTACATATGGAGCTGTTATGATGATTATTAATGTGTCAAAGCATGATATTTGTGACATATTTATCCTTTCTCTGTCAACCAAAGTTTGTTACATGGCATCAATAGCAGTAATTTGACCACTGTTGCTGTAAATAATTGTGAGTTGCTTTCCTGCCTATCACTTCAGACACAAATTTTCCTGAATGTATGTTGACAGCGTTGCTTAAAATATTGAATAAAACTAATCTGATAAATTACCAACGCAAGTCCAGATATACCATACACTTTTCAAAGCAGGATAGTGTACTAACAGGATTAAATTGTGTAGTTCAGAAAATGTAAGGGCTGCTTAAAAAGATTGAAAATCTGAATATCTTTGAAGGACAAAATTATTCACATAATACCGTGATCAACATCATGAACACTGATCTATGTAACTGCGAGCCTGACCACCCGATCCCATTAGTCGGGCCTCGTAAATCCACAGCAATAGGTGTGCACAACAAGCATGATTCCTGAAGACAGTTCCCCAACTGAACCAGCATTGCCTTACAGTGGTGGTATTCCAATTAATTCAAATAATCGATTCCATTACATTGGTCGTATAATTAATTAGTGACCAAACGACCAAGGAATCGATCACATTTTCTCATAATTGAACACAAATGATTTTGTCACTACTGTTTCAGTGTTTGAAACACTTGACGATGGAACATATCTTAGAAGTTGTTAGGGCCTGAAAACATGTTTTATTCTTAGAAAACTCACTTCACTTACAGAAAAGTCATGACTGCATAATATTATTTCTTGAGGTGAGGTGAGGTGAAATGGGGTTTAACGTAGTACTTAAAAATATTTTGCTCATATGACAACGTGCATGCATGTGTATGTGCGGCTGCTTGTACTAACCCAGATTTAAGCTGGTTTTATATTGCTAACCCACTGAGATACCATGCCGCAGGGAAGCATGAATACCCCACTCAGACACATTATACTGATTCCGAGCCGACCAGTCCTTGTTGTACCCATTAATGCCGAGCCCCAGGCAGGGACCAACAAGTACCATATTTTAATGTCTTTTGGTATGATGCGGTCGGGGGTCGAACCCGCAACCTTCCGTTCTCTGCACGGACGCCCTAACCACTACACCACGGAGGCGGTTCATATTTCTTGAAGACTCCAAAAAGTTTATGTTCATGATATATTAGTCATCACTTTAAAGTAGCAAGCTGCATCATTTTACATTGGATGTTTCTAAATAAAACAAAAAACAACAGAGAACCACATTATACTTATCTGCAATAACAACCTAAATAGGAAACTCTGTAAAATGATGCCAACCAATTTTTTTCGATGACTGCTTGTTGGTAATGAACCAATCACCAACTGTGAGGTGAGGTGAAATTGGGTTTAACGTCGTGCTTGAGAATATTTCGCTCATATGACGACGCGCATGGGCGTGTATGTGTATGTGCGGCTGCTTGTACTAGCCCAGACTGAAGCTGGTTTTATAGTGCTAGCCCACTGAGATACCATGCCGCAGTGAAGCATGAATACCAAACTCAGACACATTATATTGACTCCGAGCGACCAGTCCTTGTTGTACCCATTAATGCCGGCACGGTCCAACAAGTACCATATTTTAACGTCTTTTTGGTATGACGCGGTCGGGGATCGAACCTGCGACCTTCCGCTCTCCGGGCGGACGCTCTAACCACTACACCACGGAGGCGGCGCCAATTGTGAGATTTCAACCAATTCCCAACACTACATTACAGACACTATGGCTTTTGGTCAAGGCTTGCTAACACACTCTGCTTTACCATCTGTTCAGTGTTGGAGAGGTATATCAGGTTTAACATCACATGCTTTTGATAAATTTACTCCATGACTTACATTGAGTCCAAATTTTTACACCACATTTACAATATTTCAGTAATATCACAACATAGCACACCAGAAATGGGTCTCACACATTGAAATTTGAACCCATGTGGGGAATCGAACCCAGATCTACAGCATGGTGAGCTATTGCTTTAACCACTTTCCTACCCCACTGCCCATGACTTACATTGAGAGTATTGAGCTCGGTGCCTGTTTCCACATCCCACAGTTTGGCCGTCGTGTCCATACTCCCTGTTGCTAGAACTGAACTGGCTGGGTTGAAACTTAAACACACCTGGAAAAAAAATATCAGTTGACAGATTAAATGGTAACACTAGAATCACTATACAGCTCACACAGGAACACCATCAGCTAACAGGTCCTACCACATGATGGTTGGTGGGTTGATTTGTTGTTTAACGTCGCACTCAACAATATTACAGCTATATGACGGCGGTCTGTAAATTATCAAGTCTGGACCAGACAATCCAGTGATCAACAACATGAGCATCGATCTACACAACTGGGATACGATGACAACCCAGTCAGTGAGTCTGACAACCCGATCCCGTCAGTCGCCTCTTATGACAAGCATTGGTTGCGGAAGACCAATTCTAACCCAGATCTTCACGGGTCACTACCACATGAACTTGATGAAGTCACTTTGAAGACAGTCATGATCTAGGCCATGGTACAGACAAACAGAACCCAAATCAGGTTGATTTTTTATTGAGGAGAGGTGAGGTGAAATTGGGTTTAACGTCGCGCTGGAGAATATTTCGCTCATATGACGACGTGCATGCGTGTGTATGTGTATGTGTGGCTGCTTATACTAGCCCAGACTGAAGCTGGTTTTATAGTGCTAGCCCACTGAGATACCATGCCGCAGTGAAGCATGAATACCCCACTCAGACACATTATACTGACTCCGAGCCGACCAGTCCTTGTTGTACCCATTAATGTCGAGCGCCAGGCAGGGACCAACAAGTACTATATTTTAACGTCTTTTTGGTATGACGCGGTCGGGGATCGAACCCGTGACCTTCCGCTCTCCATTTTTTTATGTAAAGAAATGGTCATAAATTTCTGGCAAGAGTAAGGGAGGCAACTATGCCAAGTTGAATATAGTTCGTCAAACATTCAAACAAAAAATTGACACGCACTGTACTTTCATTTAGAAAATGTAACCTTCAGACCTTAATATCCAACCATAACCCAACTCCATGTGAAAGCAACTGTTAAATCTCAAAATCATCAAAATCGTCATCATCATCATCTAACCCAAGTCCCAGGACTGTACAAATAAAAGTGCAACAGTGGCAATAAATGAATCACAGTTATAAGGTCTGTTGCTGTGGCAATGTCTCCTGTTCGTGAAGCACTATACAAACAATTGGATTTAACAATTATACTGTTTTGTATACAAGACAAAAAAACTAAACTGACAATCAACTGAACTTTTAAACAAATTATATACTTTGAAAATCTTAACAATTCCAAAAACAGGCCTCACATATATGTGTTGCTTTCCCCATTGTAAAGTACTACATTGTATTTTCTCCCATCACCATGACAACGGTTCCTTGCTCATACCTCAACCCTGAGGTCAAGGCGACCTCCTGCGACATATAAACATCCCGACTTATAAACATCCCACAAGGCATAAATAAAAAATACAAATTTATAGTTCATTCACTTACAATTTCTGCTGTATGTCCTCTGAATGTGTGGTAGCACTTTCCCGAGTCAGCGCTCCAAAGCTTACATGTCTTGTCAAAAGAACCTGTTGCAATCTTGTCACTGGAAGAAAAGCACAACTAAAATCTGATTTGATGTCTCATGAGGAGACCACTCATCTCGATACGATAATTGGATTATCATATTCAACTTTCCTCTTTTCAAAAACATGACTCTACGGAGAGTTCATACTGAAGGGCAGAGTGATGATTGAATTAATAATTTTAACAGAAAACAAATGATTACTTCACTTACAACTTACAAATGATACAATGACTATAGACCTGGGCCCCGTTCCTGAAAGCGATCGTAGCGCTAAGTTGATCGTAACCCCCATAGTTTAACATAGACCTACGACAGTCGTAGTGCTACGATCGCTTTGAGGAACGGGGTCCTGAAAGGATTTGACCTGAACCTGTTTAACCTGATTTAAACTATTCAAGCTTAGACATGTTAATTAACATAATCATCAGTAATTGTATAGCAGTAATTACAATTTGCAAAACTTACATAAGAAAAACTTTATCACCATTGCTACACTGGATTCAATTGGATATTATTATTACTGGATATTTATATAGCGCACATATCCACGCACTAGTGCATGCTCAAGGTGCTGTGTTTTTTTCCCTCGATCATTGGATGTCAATCTCAACGGCACATCGTGTTATCAATCTCAACTCCCTGGGGATCATACAACTCTTGCTGCCACAAGGTGTGCCAAGTTATTGCAGCTTTCCCATCCTTACGAGGTACCCAATTCACAGCTGGGTGGACTGGGACACATATTCACAGTACTTTACTGCACGTTGCCGTACCCCCGCAACTAGGTGTTTGCATATATTCATGTGGCCACCATCTGGTCATATACCAACGGATTCGTGGGTTCTTTGAAGTGCACAGGGTTGTGTACTGTACACTAGGGATTGTGACAATACTGAAAGAGTCTGCACACAAAGTTGACTCCAAGGTTTTTACACCAGGTCACAGGTGGGCTCGATCCCAGCACCTCAAGCTCGCTGGATCACTAGCCTGGCACCTTAGCCAGCTCGTCCACCATGCCCCCCATATATGATATGACTGCAAGGTCGAACTTGTAATAATAAACTGGGAATGAGTAAGTGTTAAGGATTCCATACAAGGTTAATGGACTTAAGGCGACTTCACATGGGAAATCGTAACATGACATGACAAACATATGCTTGACAACATGTCAAAATACATTTTAAAACATGTTCCCTCAAATATTGGTAAGAATAAAGACCAAAACATTTTCTCACAAAGGGTAACACTTTACAAACCAGTTTTTACATGTTCACAAACACAAACTTATGTTTGTAAACACATATCAGCAAATTAAAGTTTGTCATGTGAAGCCACCTTAAAAGTACCTATAATGTGAGCATATAGACATCTTCTGAGTGAGTGAGTGAATGAGTATGGTTTTACGCCCCTTTTAGCAATAATATAGTGGAAACCTGATAAGTAAAATTTCAAGGGACTCGCCAAAATTGTTTACTTATCAGGTATTTTACTTATCCAAACTTATAAAACTGGCAAATGACAACCATATGCATGTATATGTATGCATATGTAACAATGAACAACTTATCAGGGCTGGCCTCCAGTTGTCAGTGTATTGTCAACTGCTTGACGCCAGCGAGCTGTAAGTAGGATGTTTGTTTAGCCGGAGACTGAGACGTGCCCCTCATGTCAGATTATGTGGTGATCGCTAATTTAGTTATCTGGTCTCTTTTGTTAAATAATTTTCTTCCAGGGACGTGCGAAGATGTTTAGTTAAGCGGTATTGTTTACTTATCCGATTTGAGTTAACCAAACTCTAATACTGATAATTAATGAAGAAATTTGCCGGGACCAAAGAATAGTGTTTACTTATCCGGGTCTGTTTAGTTAAGCCGGTCTTTACTTAGGCAGTTTCCACTGTATTAGGTAATATCACAAGAGATGGGCTTCACACATTGCACCCATGTGCGGCGGTGGGTTAGCCTAGTGGATAAAGCGTTCGCTTGTCACGCCAAAGGCCCGTGTTTGATTTCCCACATGGGTACAATGTGTGAAGCCCATTTCTGGTGTCCCCCGCCGTGATGTTGCTGGAGTATTGCTAGAAGCGGATGAAAGCCATCTTCAGTCAGTCAGTCAGTTGTACCCATGTGGGGAGTCTGACCTGGGTCTTCAGCATGACGCTTTAACCATTAGGCTATCCCACCAACCCAGACCTTTTGTGATCAACTCACCCAAAAGGGTTATTAAAGGCAATGGCGTAGACGACATTCCGATGTCCCTCGAGTGTGAACAGTTCCTCCCCTGACGCTGTGTCCCACACTTTACAAGTACGGTCGTAACTACCAGTGATAAAGCTGGAAAAAAAACAAGAAGACATGATCATCAATATCCCCGCCACACGGTTCTTGTTTTTAACTCCATCACAACATTTATGTCCTGAAAACACGCACTACACATTTGGTTTCCCTATCTATAACGGTTACTGAGAAAATCTGTTCCCATTGGGGATAACGTGCACAAAGTCAAGAAATGCATGACAAGGGCCATAACTCTGAAACTAAAGAATCGTAACAGTTTCAGCTTTTGAACTCAATCAAGGCATTTGTCTCCTGAAAATACATACCACATTTGGTTTCTCTATCTATAACGGTTTCTGAGAAAATCTGTCCCTAATTGGGAAACAGTGCACTAAGTTCAAAACGCATGACAAGGGCCATAACTCTGTAAATAAATTGTAACACGGTTTCAGTTTTCAAACTCCATCAAGGCATTCATGTCCTGAAACATATCAAATTTGGTTTCCCTATGGCGGTTTCTCCGAAAATCTGTCCCCATCATCTTGGACGGACAGAGCCTAAACTTATATCCCCCTCACATCATGGCAGGGGATAATAAGACATACATAATAATAATAATAACAAAACAAAATATCAATATGAAATGTCGACTATGTAATGAATTTACAGAGACTGTCCAACACCTTGTCAGTGGATGCCCTTCTTTGGCACAAACAGCATATCTTAAACGACATGATGGCATGGCTCGTTGCTTTTACTACCGCCTCCGCCGTGTCTGTGGCTTTGACTCGGTGGTCCATCCATGCTAATGACCCTGATCATGTCCAGGGTCATAGAAAATGATGCTTTCAAACTTCTGTGGAATAGGCCCATATTCAGCCTCAGAAGAATTCCAGCCAACAAACCTGATCTTGTCCTTTTGATAAAGCCAATGATTTTATTTATATCATTGAATTTTCTGTCCCTTTGACAGCAATGTGATTGGCAAGATTCAGGAAAAGCATGATAAATATGCTTAACCCTCGCCTTTGAAATGTCTTGATTGCATCCCAAGTACACTGTCGCCAGGCTCCTCATTGTTTTCGTGCCCTTGGTTTGGTACCTCCTGATCTCTTAGCTTAGATCAGGAGAGTGCCCGGTTCTCAACCGGGAGTACAGCCCTTCTGACACTCTGGGTAATGCAGAAGGCTGCAGTGTTGGGGAGCCTTCATATTCTCCAGAAAGTTCTTGGTGGGTTCGACTAGGCAGTGTTTCCTGGGAGAAGTCCCATTCGCTGTCTGGGCTGGGCGGGTAGAGGGGCGAGGGCCCTGAGCTGATGATGAGCCTTACCAGCCTGTGCCAGGATCACTCGAACCCTTTCTGTTGCATTTTCATCTTTAATCTGTAAAATATACTGAAAGCCATTAAAAATGCAATTGGTATTTGTTGTCCTGAAACTTACAAAAGTTCTATTGAAGATTTTTTCCTGCGATACAGAGGATGTAGGGATAAAAGGCTGTTATTTGGCCCATTTCGAAGTTTCGAGTCCCGGAGCATTCGTCTCACATGAACTTTGATACTTAAAACTGAATCTTTGACATTTCTCGTGAACACAACCCCATTCATGAAACACGTTGTGCACATGCATTACATGCACCCAGGCCCTGTAAAAGCACAAGGAATTGTGGAACTCAATCACTTTGAGAAAATGCCACACTTGACACAAGACGAAAGGAATCAGGTTATCGGTATGGTCAGCCAAGGTGCTTCAGATGTGATGATTGCCAGGCACTTTAATGTACATCCATCCACTGTAAGTCGACTCAGACAACGTTTTTCGGGCTACCGAAGTGTTGCTGATCGTCAGCGACCTGGTGCACCACCTGTGATAACAGCTCGACAAAACCACAATATCCGAAGTTTCACACTTGCGTAAATCGGTTCCAAACAGCTGATGATTAGGCAAGGAGGACAATTGGGACAAGTCAACATTGTTTCAGCCCAAAAGGTGCAAGGACGCTTTGCTGCCTTCAACATCCGTGTCGCCACCCGTATCCGTGGTCCAACCTTATTGCATCGCCAGACTTGCCAGACAGCGATGGGCAGCAAATGGGGCCAATCTTGGCAACAGGACATGGCCAGGGTCATATTTTCAGATGAACCCAGGTTTAGCTTATCCTTTGCAGATGGATCGCCAACAAATTTATCGACCTAAAGGAGAAAGACTTGCGCCAAACTGTGTCCTTAAACATGATCGATTTGGAGGGCGTGGTGTCATGATCAGACCACAGACCATCAGAGGCTGCAGATCATCCAACAGCTGTTCCTAAGAAATGTGTGTCTTTCAATGCCCCAAAGACTGCGAAAGCATGTCTTGCAGCGCCACGGTGGACACACACGCGATATTGACTGCAAGTGACCCCTCCTTTGTTTGATGTCGTTGTTAAGGCCACTAATGTTGTTGACTGGACATTTTTCAGATGAAACTATTCACAGATGTTCACATAAAACATATCTGTCAGTTAGGTTTATATATGTTGAAATTAGTGTGAGTAAAGAAAGTATGAATGTCAAATTGCATTTTTAATGGCTTTCACTGTATAATAATGATAACACAGCTCCAGGGCCTGATGGCATTCGAAACCGGTATTGGAAACTGTTTCCCTGTGTCCAAACTCCATTACTTCACTGTTTCAATACTCGTGGACACAGGTGATGTTCCTTCATGGTTCTGCAAAGGTCGCGACAATACTCCTTCCCAAAAGGAGACTTGACTGATCCCAAAACTTCCGCCCTATCACATGTTTGAATACTCAGTATAAAACCTTCACAGGGTGTTTAACAAGTCTCGGTGTCATCTTACTGCTCTTCCAATGATATAATTTACAGAGAGCAGAAAGGGGCGAGAAAGTGATTTTGGGGGTGCAAGGATCAACTTCTTGTACAAAAATGATTTTGGAACAGGCTAAAACATATCACCGCAAACCTCTCCATGTGCTGGATTGACTACAAAAGCATACAACTCTCTGTCCCTCATGAATGGATTCTTAAGTCTCTTTGTTCTATTGACCTCCCGGAACGACTACTTGATTTACTCAAGTCTTTAATGAGTTCCTGGTCGACTCAACTTGAGATGTACTCGCAAGGGCAGGTGCAGATTTCAGAATCTATTCCAATCAGAAGGGAATTTTCCAGGGGACTCCTTTAGTCCTTTGCTTTTTGTTTGTCTCTAAATCCTTTGAGCTTTCTGCTCAACAGAGAGGAGGGTTACCATCCCGACCTCCTCAGCACAGATCCCCAACACCGCTTTACTCATCTCCTTTACATGGATGACATTGAGCTCCTTGCCAAAGGAGATGCCAATTTGAAAGAACAGGTTCTCCTTGTCGAGTCCTTTCTAATGATATTGGCATAACACTTGGGTCTCGACAAATGTAATACTCTTCATTTCAAACGTGGCAAGGTAGTTAATGGTGGATCGGTCAAGTTACCGGGGAGGAGTTATTGAGCATCTTGAGGAAGATCAGGCCTACACCTATCTTGGAATGCAAGTTCAGAGTGCCCAAATTCAAGACAAACTTCGGGCCGAAAGTACAAATCTTGCTTAAAGAAAATCTGGAGCTCAGAGCTAAATGCTCGAAACAAGGTCAAAGCCACCAATACTTTTGCTGTGCCAGTCTTTTCAGATTCCTTTGGAGTAGTTGATTGGACAAAACAAGACATCCAGAGTCTTGACCGCCTGACCAGAAGGATCATGTTTGATAACAGAGTCCACCACCCTCGCTCCTCTCTTAACCATTTATATATGCCAGTCAATTCTGGAGGTCGGGGTTTGATTAATGTGGAGGCTCTTCATGATAGAATTTTATTGTGTACTTTTGCACATATGTATGCATGTGAAGACTCATGATGAAAGCAAGGAATTCCACAGCTATTTTAAAGCGTGCCAAGGTTGTTGGACCAAATCTGAAATTTGATGTTGATTTTGTTGATGGCGATGTACTGCTGGACGGTACCGCGATGGGGAGTATACCAGGTGAAGTCCTTCACCAAGTCTGCCCAGAGTCGGTCTTTGTGGAGAAGCTTTCTGAGAAACCATTGCATGCAGTACATGCAGTGTGTGGGCGAGAATAGCAATCCCACCGACTCCTTCAGCCTGGATGAAGTCGGCTGGTCTTAAATATGAAATTGAGGGCTTCCTTTTGCTGCCCAGGACCAGTCACTTCCCACTGTGAATCGCCAAAATGTGATTCTTAAAGAAAATATCAATATGAAATGTTGACGATGTAATGAATTTACAGAGACTGTCCAACACCTTGTCAGTGGATGCCCTTCTTTGGCACAAACAGCATATCTTAAAGCGACATGATGGCATGGCTCGTTGCTTTTATTACTGTCTCCGCCATACTTGTGGCTTTGACTCGAGGTCCATCCATGGTAATGCGACCCTGAAACATGTCCAGGGCGCCATGGAAAATGATGCTTTCAAACTTCTGTGGAATAGGCCCATATACAGCCTCAGAAGAATTCCAGCCAACAAACCTAATCTTGTCCTTTTGGATAAAGCCAATGATTTTATTTATATCATTGAATTTTCTGTCCCTTTGACAGCAATGTGATTGGCAAGATTCAGGAAAAGCATGATAAATATGCTTAACCTCGCCTTTGAAATGTCTCGCTTGCATGCATCCCAAGTACACTGTCGTCAGGCTCCCCATTGTTCTCGGTGCCCTTGGTTTGGTACCTCCTGATCTCTTAGTGCAGATCAGGAGAGTGCCCTTCATATTCTCCAGAAAGTTTTCCAGTGTTTCCTGGGAGAACTTCTGCAGGTATTGCAGCGGATGCAAAGTTTAATCTGTAAAACGATATTTATATAGGTGTAGATACTAACACTTGCTTGATAACAATGCTAGCATCTACACCGAACTGTCGCATCCATTGCAATCAAGAAGTTGTCTATCCATAAAACTTGTTCCTGTTCATCATGCCAGCTTCTTAATGCCACTCAAAGAATTTATGTGTAATTCTGTGTCTACCCCAGCTGTCTTACCTTGATCCCGACTTATTGAAGGCAACATTTGTGAGAGGAAGGATGTGAGCTCGTAGCACCTGCAAACAAAGAACTGGTTTCATCAGCACCTTCTTGAATTTTCTGAACATAGTGAATTTTTACTTTCGCTGAATTACCTTCCATATAATACCAGGGATTGTCATGGCTTTCCTGATTTTTTGAGTCCTAATAGTTATAAGTTGGCTAGGGGAGGGATGATGATTTTTTTGGGAGAAGCACGTACTATGTGAATGCACCCCCACTCCCCACTAGAATTTATGTCCAAAGTAAGTGATCCCCCCTGCATGTCGTGTACAAAATTGCTGATATTTATTTATTTATTTATCTAAATTCTGAGAAAATTGGAACTTGTACTTTCCAACTTTTAATTGACTTGTGGCTGAATATCAGCCTCTGACCAGGTCTAGAAAATCTGTGATAAAGGGTATTATAAAGCTACATTAGTTTACATGAGTTCAACACTTCAGTTTAGAATACACCCGTTTTACAGGGTAAAACTACCAAGTATCATGTAAGTTACAAAATCATTATGCTTCAAGTAAATGTCTTGGATGGAGAAGTTATGATTCCATTTGGGGGCACAACAAATCTCCATTACGGCCCCTCAGCAACATGTTTAAAGACACTATTTCACACCACATTTCTCTAAAAATAAATAATGCATTTTTTTCAATAAAGCTAACAATCATCCCTCAGGGGAAGCTGCCATATAATCTCTTCCGCAAACACCGACAACACTGCGTGCGACATTTTTCGATAGACGAAGCAATTGTTTACATCCCCTGTATGGCAAGTGTTCTCTGTTTGGAAGCTGTTCACCTCGAAGTTTCAATTATCGATTTGATGCAAGTCATAAGGGAAAATAAGTCTTTTATTGCATCAATAGGAAGCTAAAGTGATTGCATATGCCCTAATATATATTATATAGGCCAAAATATTGTCGAAAATATGTGAAATTGTGCCTTTAAGGATAGCTCATCGTGTGAAACACTCCAAGGCCTATTTGATTTTATTAATATACATGTATTTACAGAGTGAAAGAAATATTTTGGTCTTGGATAACCATACCTGACTGGCTTACACGAAAACTGTTAGAAAGGCATAAAGGGAAACAACTCCATGCAATATGCTAAAAACAGTAATTTCATTCAGTTTCAAAAAAACTTTATATTGCAATCATTTTATCAATGGTAATACAGGATATGATACAGACTGTAGGAATAACTTGGTGAAACATTGTAAAATACACCACCACCAGGGTACCTGGTAAAAACTTAGGTTGTACAAGTTGTTAGATAAATGTACGATGATCTTGGGTAATACTTCAAGCATCTGAATCACAGAGGATAGCAGTTGGCATCTCACCTTGAACAAGTAATAATGATGATCATCGGGATGTGACAACTTCTCCTGCAAACCTGGTACTTGGTTAAGGCTTCATAACAATCAATTATACCCGTTTTGCAAAATATGGAACTGGTTAACCGTAAGATACAACATGTCTCGACTGTTTCAGCAAAGTTCAGAATCTTCACAAAAGATTCAACTTTCTATTTCTAAGCAGTAAACGGGAAGACGGATATTCTATTCCTATGATGGATATCGAAGAGGCAACTCACAGCACAACCAGCAGGTGATGATGTATCATCATGATCATCATCAATACATGATACTGCATCGTGGACTACAAATTTCCAACCATTCCTAAGATCTGTAAGTAGACTGTGAGCGAGATGGGTTTAACATGGGCTTGAACAGTTCTCTAGCAGAGATAGCATGACACGTCACCTGAATGTGGAAGGTAAGCCTGAAAAGTAATGCAGGTGTCAGACATTTACCATTTTGGTGGAACCAACAAGTACAGGTTTAGTGCTAACAAACCTAGATATATACTGGGGAAAAAAAATAAGGGATCACATGAAAGCACAAGTGTTCCATTATTTTTTTCAAGGTTTCTTCACAAGTTGTGCGATACAAAGCTTGTGAAGAAACCTGGGCAAAAATAAAGGAACAGTTGTGCTTTCATGTTATCGCTTATTTTTTTCCTCAGTATATAATCTGGGTGAACTGGAGTTTGACCCATAATCATAAATTTCTTTGATGCCCTAAATAATAAAAGGATATAAAGCCGTATAGGGGACCAGGTGCTCTCACAACCGCCCACTCGGGCGAATCAGGAGAGAGTGAAGAGCATGGGAGACGGGTGGCGCCGTTTCCCGTCAAAACCTAGCAAGGGAGGTGACTCCTGGTAAGTGATTTTACGTCCGCTTTTTTGAAGGGAGCTTCAAAAGGGGATTCAAGTGTTCCACTAGCATTCGGAAGGAAAGGGAGACAAGCAATAAGCATGAGTCAGGATAAGGAAAAATGATAGTTTTTCTTAATTTGACGATAAACTTTCCGTGCCTCCCAAACAGTCCTCTTGTAAAGTATGTTGTAAAAGGATACGACAAATACGTATAATGAGCTTTCTGACTTGTTCTGTTTTGGAGGAGGTGATGAGAGGCTCCTTGCGAGATATTTCATCCACAACCGCATCAATGTCCGTCCTGCAAAGAAAGTAGATGGCAAGGTACTCATTTTGAGATCTTGTAAAGACGACAAAATATTTTCTTATAACACTGATTAACATGCCCTTTTTGGATATAATGCTTGTATTGTACTGTGATGACAGATGATGACCCAGCGTGGAGAAACAAATAATCTGTAGAGAACATTTTGGGAATTGATACACTCACACACCAGGTATTGGTCAGACTTTTGGCGGCGGTTTGTAAATAATCACGGCTGGACCAGACCATTCAGTGATCAACATCATGAGCATTGATCTATGTGCGCAAGTTCTGTAGTAATGATTCAGGTACTGTGAAATGTACCACTGTACATTGTATACATTCTTTAACCTGTCACTTGTAACATGTTATATTTAGGATTACACTTTCTCAGTAAAGATTCTATAACTTTTGTTGGGTTGAATCCCAACCAGGATTTGAACCCATGATCTCAGATTCAGGCACATAATTGCCAGCACACAATTTCAGCAGTCTAACCCACTCAGCCGCCATTTGTTCGACAAAAATGGAAGTCAGACAACTGGTAGTCTAGGTCATATACCTTGTGTGCCCCTCTGACAACTGTAAATTGGCACAGCCCCCACGGTGGAAGCTTATTATGAATACACAATGCCATTTAGAAAGTGGTCAAATGTAACATGTTACATTTGGGATTATACTTTCTCAGTAAAGTTGATTCTTGCACTTTTGTTGGGTTGAGTCCCATCCGGGAAGCGAACCCACACCCTTTACTGAGAAAGTGTAATCCCAAATATAACATGTGTTACATCTGACCACTTTCTAAATGGCATTAGGTATTCATAACCTGCCATTTGTTGTGATCTTATTTGTAACTTTGTGGTTCAAACCATGCAGAGATTGGGAAAGGCAGGGGCCATGGGCCATTTTGCAATCTCGCTATTTACAACCAGCACCGGTGCATGTTAAATATGGCTGGTGCAGGTTACCATCAGTAACAGGTTGCACTCGGTGCAGGTAACAATATATCTTCCTGCATCTTATAGCTGCCATCATGTGTTTTAATTAGGAAGTTAATGACTGTAAGTGATACGTTTCCACAGAATCATTCATCATCATCATGTGGTCTGGTTTTGTTGAATGTATCTGGTACCGAGTACTCGTTTTGAAATTGCTAAACAAATATTTGTGTTATTTTATAGAACCAGTAACATTATTTTCTGGTGCAACCAAAATTTTGATGGTACAGCCAAACCTACAAGCCAGGTGGCAATTGGTGCAGGTACTGAAAAATCCATGAATTCACACCCTGTATACATCTTAATATGGCCATGTGTATTACATCCTCATACAGTCAGCTCTCGTTAATCCGACACTCATTAATCCGACAATCACGTTAATCCGACAAAAAAATAGGGAACAATTTAAAACAGTGATAATTACTCTCGTTAATCCGACATTCTCGCATTCCGACTCCGACACACCAATCTAGCAACTGATTATTGTAAATACATTGTAAAAACATTCGTTAATCCGACAATCAACACAGCCGGTCGGATAATCCGACCATATACAAACAATAACACGTGAGTGGTAATTAGCGTATGCCTTACTGGCTACTTGACACTGACGTCGGTGAACATCACACTTATTAATTAGGAACACAGGATAATTAACTGAGACGATTTAATCAAGAAATAACAGTAAAGCGAGCTGTATAAAATGTTTACAACCGACATGAGTGCATGCAACAGTATCACGATCATGACATTTAGTAAACATTGATATTTTCACACAAATACATTAATCCGACATTTTCATTAATCCGACATATTTCTCTGCAACCACAAGTGTCGGATTAACGAGAGTTGACTGTATGTCTACAAAGTGGAACTCACTGTTGCTTCAGGTCCAGGAGATCGATGGACTTCGTCTTCAGACTCCCACCCTGTTCATACTCCAGTATTATACCTGAAGAAGAATAACCACGTTGAACATAACATCTGCAATAAACTGATGACATTTGGGTCAAACTATCCATGTTAATCAACCAACGTGCTACAATACAAACACCACAATAGAATACATATCTTGAGCCTCCTAACGATATGTATCAATTAGGGTTGGGTATTGCCAAAATTTTTGTACTGCGATATATTGTGATATGTGTTGGCGTATTGCAATATGCATTACAACATATTGTGAAAGTGTAACACATGGTTAAGGTAACGAAATTACTGTTTCCTTTCTTTTGAAACAATGGCACTGGTCACTGTTATGTGATTGTACAAGAGATCAATTGAAAATGTTTCCAAATTGAAGCAGCACTCTAAAGTTTGGAATTGCGTCTGCAGCGGCGTCCCCCATTTTGGTTTGTTTATCAACGAGTGCCGGTACCAACCTATATGGTTTAAAAGTCACGCAAATGCAATTATATGACCAATAAACAAGCTCAAATCTATTAATGTATATAATAATAAAAAGGAAATACATCATCACAAAAGTTACCGATCATTGTCATGGATATTGCCGATCGTGTTGGGTGAAACGGTTCGCGAAAAATGTATCGCAATATATCGTATTGTGAAGATCGAATTGCAATATACCGGTTAACTGGTATTATCGACCACCCCTAGTATCAATACGCCCAATATAACAACACAAATGAGAACATGAACTGAACTACTTTGGTATTTTAAATGTGAAACTGGGGACAGACTTGTTTTCCTCATTGACTGTTCTTACTCCATCACAAAAGGGAACAGGAAGGCACATGATCTCATGTACAACAGATCTGTGGGAAGTTGATAGTTATTCAAGCTGACAGTTATTCAAATTCACTTAACATCTATAAAATATTTTTTTGCACCGTTCTGTACCAAGATACATATAGGTGTCGCGTATCATATAGGTCATGTCATAAGTCAGTCTCCCTGACCTACTTGAAAATATTAATAATTCAATCCAATTCAAGAATACACTGATTGTTCACGTCTAGATCATGTAAACTGCCCAGCTCTGGGTTGAATTTATGAATTATTCTGGGCTCTTTTAGGATTGTATAAATATATTTTCAGTGAATGTACATATTTTTACATATGAAGTCTTGCATCTAGTAAATCATTTTGATGACATTCATTGTATTTTTGGAATGTGCTTAGCCATTAACCATGTTTTCTTAAATTAAACCAAAAATGTCAGTGAACTTTGAACATCATATTTAGAAATAAGTGTTCCCCTTCTTACACAAAAAGCAAAAGTTTGTCTGTTTTTTCTTACGTTTTTTTTTTTTTTTTTTATTGCAAGCATATATATGATTGCTTATGTGACATCTGATAAAATGACATGTCACAATGTGAAATTAAAATTTAATTTTTTAATTGTCATTTTCTTCTCACTTGGTAAACTACTTAAGAGTTTCATAGCCCGAATGTCATAGTTACATCAAATACGTAAATCTATGTACGCCTTTGGTTACTGCCAACGCTAAAACAACAATACCACCAAAAGCGACCCGTTACCATAGCAACGGATTTAGCACAATGTTCTGTTTACCATGGCGACAGAAGTACGAATCAAATGAATGAAATATCTGATCTAATTGACACAGTCTTTATACTGACTTGTGAAATGAAATTACCCACGTTTCATCATTAGCCACCGTGAGTAAAATGTAACAAACATCTTGCCAGACGCCTTACGTTAGCAATCAACCAGCCGGCATGTGCGCGACGCTCTATGAAAATAATCATTATTAAAACGATCGTGCATGAATAACTGACTTTATGATGCATCGTCAACATACACAACCTACTCGTCACGACCCAATTCATAACTTTTGTACCTGGAGGATAATAGCGCAGAAGAAACCGCTTCAACTTCATGCTTGGCGAGTTTGTGTACTGTTTCCACAAGCATCCAATATGGCGTATGTGAGGAATTGTGGGTAGCCAAGGGAAATAACTAACGGTTTTGCTGACCATAAGAAAAAAAACGAATTGCGAAATTAATTGCATGTCTAACAAATGATTTAGTCTGCGCGTGTTACGTATCCATTTCATCGTAAATATGAAGATAATAACAGGTGTTACATTTCAGTATTAGATTGTATCGATGAACATTTCGTTAGGCTGAAATTTATTCACGTGGCACATTGGAGCCTATAATGTTTATATCATCATAAAATAATGAAAACATGCTTCATCTTCACATAAATGTTTTTAAAACAAATATATGAATATTTTTTAAAAATGTGAAATTTACAGAAAATACAAGAAAATAGGAGTTTTCTATAATTGTACGAAAGATAATTTTCTGAGGATAACTTCACCTTTTACGTCCGACTCTATGTGAATACAAAAGACACAGTTAACATAACTCTAAATGTAAGTGACTGTGTGGATGTTGTGGTGAATTCTACAACAACGATAGTAGACCGACACACTATACGGGTGTCACGTAATGTATATGTTCTGATAGACATATGAATAAAACTGTTATCTGCCAAAACCATCGCATATGACGTTGTAAGCTGCACGATGTATAGCTGATAATCCACCATACCAGACAACGTATTTACTGCTTATGTGAGTTTGGTGATGTGCCTTCCTAGATGGTGTGTAGGTGAACGTGGCAGCTTTGCGACATAGACATTGATGTTGGTCTTGTACATGTCAATAGCGAAATGTACACGAACCATTCATTTCAACACCACGTGTTGCCACAAAATCAATTGTGTCCACGCATGCTAGTTTCTGCCATCAAGTTCCTATACTACGTCACAGAAGTCTGTTGATTTCATGGAAAAGATACGCAGTGTCTTCAGCCAAGTGTTGTTTGTTGTCTCTACAATATTACAAGTGTTGTCAATTTCGCTCAGGAAGTGATATATACAACAATGAAATTGACATTGACTAAAGTGTTACACTATGGCTTGTTGTTGATGGCAGCATATATTGTTTACACATGGCTCGTGCAGGTACGTAATGATAATTATTACTATTACTTCATTTCACTGATATCATGGAACAGATATTAAGGAGTGGATATCACGTGTACTGAATTAAAACTACAAAAAGTCTAACGAATTGAATGTTTTTATTATATCTCAAATAAATATTCCTGTGTAGTGTTTTATGAATGTCTTATTTGATGATTTATCAGGTGATGACGTATGTGTTTTCCTTTTGACCTCTCTCTCTCTCTCTCTCTCTCTCTCTCTCTCTCTCTCTCTCTCTCTCTCTCTCTCTCTGGTATTCTCATGATTCTGTTATACCGATCTTTCATTTCGTTGAAGTCTGAATTTGGTCAATGTGTGTTCCTTCGTTGTTTTTATAAGGTTGCATTTAAACCAAATTTACACAATCCCCTTAAATAATTCGTTGAATAACATAATATTAATGTAATGAACGAAGAACCACAAATATCGTAGATATTTACAAGACATTTTTTTAAATAAAATTCACATAAAATTCCCCGAAAATGTTCCTGGTCCTCAACTTTTATTGTTCGGAATATTACAATCGACAATAACCCCTATATTAAAATTTAAAATACAATCTACGCCGATCGTTACGTTGAATAAACAGGCATTAATAGGAGTGTAAATATCATATTTCATTTACGATTATTAATTATGACTCTCTCTCTCTCTCTCTCTCTCTCTCTCTCTCTCTCTCTCTCTCTCTCTCTCTCTGTCTCTCTCTCTCTCTCTCTCTCTCTCTCTCTCTCTCTCTCTCTCTCTCTCTCTCTCTCTCTCTCTCTCTCTCTCTCTCTCTCTCTCTCTCTCTCTCTCTCTCAAGTGAACCGTTTTTCTTCAGGAGATTACGTCCAAGTACCCTCTCTGTATACACACTTTCATTACTTCACAACTCCAAGTACCGGGTAGCCGCTGCATTAGAAACAACAACATCTCTTCCAGTGCAGACGTTGTTTGTTGTTTGTTGTGTACAACGCGGCTCTCAACAATATTCCAATGAATTTGATGCTATATATAGAGGGTCGATAAACAATCATTAACATCTATTTAAATTTTCAGATGTATACTTTCTTTTGTCCGTCAGTTTACTTATGTAGTGCAGCGGACTCTTCTTGATATCAATGACAGGTTCTGATGCCATATGTAGTTTGTCATTTTTATAGATGTTTTTATATCATGCTCATTATCGTAACGGTAAATGCACAATCACATGGATGACAAATATTCGTCATGTCGGTTTGGGATTATACCACACTTTAGCAATATCCCAGTTACTTGACGTTGGGCTGAACATAATCGAGTCTGAACTAGTGATTGATATAATAAACAACATTTAACACCGTCAGTCTACGACGTAATCAACAAACACTGACTATCTCATCAAAAGTAGTTTTGGGTACCTGAACTTCGAAGCACAAGGAACATATATTATTAGTATTAGCACATGCATCAATGTTCATCTGGGGACGTAACGTGACCTCATCTATTACTGTTTAAAAATAAACACCTGTTCGAATTTCGTTATCTTTACCTGGCAAATGGTTTCACTCTGCCTTCCTTATCCGTTCGCCATGTTCCGATGAAGTTCAGGGTTTCTCGTGCACGTGTTGCTGAAATCGATCAGTCATTGACTGGCTTATCTTTGAATATTTATATGGCGCTTCAATCAGTAGTAACACTGACATGGAGAAAAGTCGCAGTAAAACTTGTCATTTTCACCACATGTGACAATTTATATATGCTATGAATATCAAGGAAAGGAATCCCGTGAATAGACACTATTTTACATATGTGGGGAAACGAAGCTGGTCTGCTTCAAACCGTATGTAGTTTTAAACTGACTATTCATTTAAAGCAGTTGAATTATCAAATTGACTATTCGTTTAGTTTATTTGGATGTACGTTTGTCCAGGGAGAATAGAAGACGTGCTGTAGATTATCCCTGGTTTGTCTAAATGTCGATCAAAAAGAAATCACACACCCACTGTTGATGGTGGATAAATATTAAATGATTTTTCGATGACGATAAACTTAATACGTGTACAATTTTTGTATTTTGAATCCAAAGTTTGCGTTTCATCGACTGCTTTCAACCTAGTAACGTAAAAGGTTTAATTTGTAACGTGTTATGATTTTTTGGTCAAATCAAATTTTCAGATGTACTATTTCTTTTGTCCGTCAGTTTACTTATGCAGTGTAACGGACTCTTCTTGATATCAATTAACGTGTTCAGATGCTATATGTAGTTTGTCGTTTTTATAGATGTTTTTATGTCATGCTCATTATACTAACGGTAAATGCTTTTGATATTTCAAATGTGATTTATATGTGTCCATATCCTTAACGCTGTGGAGAAATACTAACTCTGTACTGAAAATATAATAAATTAAGGTAAATGTCCATATGTTTTAGGATAAAGACAAAAGTGACTACGATCGTCATCCTCGCAACAAAGATAAGTTCAAGGACAGCGACACGGGGGTGAAAGGTCAAGGTCACAAGTATGCTGATGGGGCACGCCATGTCAAGGATGATTCACAAGAAAATGTAAAAAGAGCCAAAGATTACAACGACGTTATAGACCAACATAGACAGCAGGAACGACAGCAACGAGAACAGGAACTTGATAGGAATGACGCCCAAAGAGAACAGGAAGACAAAATGAAACGAAACGAAAAATATATAATGGAAGACAAAAAAAAGCCGCTAGAAAATAGAGAACGAGACAAAAGAAAGCAGGATGATATAAAACAACAAAAAGATGATCTGATTCCGGATATAGAGCCAAAATTGGTCAAAGACTTAGGCCCGAAAGTTGAACCGAAAAAGGTCAAGGAAATAATCATGGACGATAGATTTGATGACGGGCCGGCTAAAGCGGGTAAAAAGAATGAAGAAGTGCAGAAGATGAAGTGGAAGGGAATGGAGGAAGACGGAGAAGATCTTTTGAAAGAACTCAACAATGCTGCTTTGAAGGGTGACCCGGATGTTCACAAACAGATGGACAAACTCAGTGATCACAAAAACGTCAAAATTCCAAAACTGCAAAAGGGGTTCGGAGATGAGCACGACGACCTTGACACAGCGGCTGAGAAGGTACAACGAAGGAAGGAGTTCTTTCAAAAGGTCAGCAAATACGAGTCAAAAGTTCAAATGTCGGAGGACAAGCATATTCACGAAACTGAGGACGATTTTGCATTTGTCACGGCAGCGAACAGCGACACCTATCAAGGAGCGCTCAGGTTTATCTACAGCGTCCAGCACAACTTCCCTAACGCGGAGATAGGAATCTTTAATATTGGTCTCTCACAACAAGAAGCATCCTTTGTAAGTATACGGGTACTACCTTGCATACTTCCCTGTTTTATAAAATCTTGTTAATGTAAAAAAAGAATGTGATGAGAGTACGTCCAAAATCAGTATCGTTCATTGGCTCTTGGTATTACTCGGGGCAGTAGCAATTTGCGAAATAGCCACAGGCCCACTAGCCCGTGGCTAGTAAAAATTCAGTTGGGCCAGTAAATCTCCACAATCACTGGACCGATTGGCTAGTGAATTTTCATGGGGTCATTTTGTAAATATATCACTCTTTCCGACTTGTTAAGTTAGTATGCACATTTAAATCATGCAAGGTTATGGCCTGATAAAAATGTTCATCACATTAGCAGCTTATTGATGAAACCTGGGTCATGCCGACAATATCTTATTCCCATCTATTTTTTTAAATCCTTTACTTAGTTTTTGCATTCAGATTTCGGGCTAGTAAATTATGGCCAACATGCTAGCACTTTTTGGAAACTATTTCGCACACTGGGCAGTAGGGCACACTGGTGGTTAAAGTTCTCGCTTGTCAAGCTGAAACTTGGGTGCAATGTGTGAAGCATATCTATACATTCCCTTCCCATGATATTGCTGGAAAACTGTTAAAACCCAATTCACTCACTCACTCAAACCCTCCCACCCACCCACTCACTTATTCACTCATTCACTCACTCTTGGTCGTACTCCAAGTACTACCTATTTAGGGTTTAAGGCATTTCAATACACGTAATTTAAATAATTTAGTAAAAGGCGACTTGCGTCTGGACTAGTGGATAGCTAGCCACTCCTTATATACGTCTGGCTAATGGACGAACAGACAGGTAGACGTCTACTTTAAACACCTGCTGGTAGACAGATCGAGGTGAGGTGAGGTGAAATTGGGTTGAACGTCGTACTTGAGAATATTTCGCTCATATGACGATGTGCATGCGTGTGTATGTGTATGCATGGCTGCTTGTACTAGCCCAGACTGAAGCTGGTTTTATAGTGCTAGCCCACTAAGATATCATGCCGCAGTGAAGCATGAATACCCCACTCAGACACATTATACTGACTCCGAGGCGACCAGTCCTTGATGTACCCATTAATGCCGAGCGCCAGGCAGGGACCAACAAGTACCATATTTAAACGTCTTTTGGTATGACGCGGTCGGGGATCGAACCCGCGACCTTCCGCTCTCCGGTCGGACGCTCTAACCACTACACCACGGAGGCGGTCAGACAGATAGACATCACATGAACCACTACACCACGGAGGCGGTCAGACAGATAGACATCACATGACAACGTCTGACAAGCTTCAGCAATGGTGGGGCTCGCTGACCTGGTTGACACATGACATCGTTCCCAATGCGGTAGATCGATGTTTAGTATGCCACTTACTGAATTGATCGATTATTTACAGACCGTCACATGGCGGGAATATTTTTGACTGCTGCATGAAACAACAAACAAACAAATATCGTCTAGCTTACAGGTAGGTAGAACACCTGTGTTAACATCCGGACAGGTAGAGTACCTGTGTTGACATCCGAAGAAGACACCCACCCTGGGTTAACATCCGAACAGGTAGATAACCAGTGTTTACATCCGGGCAGGTAGAACACCTGTTTTTACATCCGGACAGGTAGAGTACCTGTGTTGACATCCGAAGAAGACACCCACCCTGTGTTAACATCCGAACAGGTAGATAACCAGTGTTAACATCCGGGCAGGTAGAACACCTGTTTTAACATCCGGACAGGTAGAGTACCTGTGTTGATATCCAAAGAAGACACTCACCCTGTGTTAACATCCGAACAGGTAGATAACCAGTGTTAACATCCGAACCGGTAGATAACCAGTGTTAACATCCGGGCAGGTAGAGTACCTGTGTTGACATCCGAAGACCTGTGTTAACATCCGGACAGGTAGAGTACCTGTGTTGACATCCGAAGAAGACACTCACCCTGTGTTAACATACGAACAGGTAGATAACCAGTGTTAACATCCGAACAGGTAGATAACCAGTGTTAACATCCGGGCAGGTAGAACACCTGTGTTAACATCCGGACAGGTAGAGTACCTGTGTTGACATCCGAATAAGACACTCACCCTGTGTTAACATCCGAACAGGTAGATAACCAGTGTTAACATCCGGGCAGGTAGAACACCTGTGTTAACACTTGGAGAGGTAGAGTACCTGTGTTGACATCCGAAGAAGACGCTCACCCTGTGTTAACATCCGAACAGGTAGATAACCAGTGTTAACATCCGAACAGGTAGATAACCAGTGTTAACATCCGGGCAGGTAGAAGACCTGTGTTAACATCCGGACAGGTAGAGTACCTGTGTTGACATCCGAAGAAGACACTCACCCTGTGTTAACATCCGAACCGTTAGAGAACCAGTGTTAACATCCGGGCAGGTAGAACACCTGTGTTAACACTTGGAGAGGTAGAGTACCTGTGTTGACATCCGAAGAAGACGCTCACCCTGTGTTAACATCCGAACAGGTAGATAACCAGTGTTAACATCCGAACAGGTAGATAACCTGTTTCAACATCCGGGCAGGTAGAAGGCCTGTGTTAACATTCGGACAGGTAGAGTACCTGTGTTGACATCCGAAGAAGACGCTCACCCTGTGTTAACATCCGAACAGGTAGAAAACCTGTCTTAACATCCGGGCAGGTAGAACACCTGTGTTAACATCCGGAGAGGTAGAGTACCTGTGTTGACATCCGAAGAAAACACTCGCCCTGTGTTAACATCCGAACAGGTAGATAACCTGTGTTAACATCCAGGCAGGTAGAACACATGTGTTAACATCCGGACAGGTAGAGTACCTGTGTTGACATCCAAAGAAGACACTCACCCTGTGTTAACATCCGAACAGGTAGATAACCTGTGTTAACATCCGGGCAGGTAGAACACCTGTGTTAACATCCGGACAGGTAGAGTACCTGTGTTGACATCCGAAGAAGACGCTCACCCTGTGTTAACATCCGAACAGGTAGATAACCTGTGTTAATATCCGGGCAGGTAGAACACCTGTGTTAACATTCGGACAGGTAGAGTACCTGTGTTGACATCCGAAGAAGACAATCACCCTGTGTTAACATCCGAACCGTTAGATAACCAGTGTTAACATCCGGGCAGGTAGAACACCTGTTTTAACATACACACCTATTCGCACAATGTGTTAACATCCGGACAGGTAGAACACCTGTGTTAACATCCGGACAGGTAGACATCAGGTGTCTTAAGTTTCGGACAGGTTACACATCTGCAATATGATACCTATTTTATGTACCTACGATATGACCGCATCCATGGTTAGAGCATCTGCCCGGAGAGCGGAAGGTCGCGGGTTCGATCCCCGACCGCGTCATACCAAAAGACGTTAAAATATGGTACTTGTTGGTCCCTGCCTGGCGCTCGGCATTAATGGGTACATCAAGGACTGGTCGGCTCGGAGTCAGTATAATGTGTCTGAGTGGGGTATTCATGCTTCACTGAGGCATGGCATCTCAGTGGGCTAGCATTATAAAAAAAAAAAAGCTTCAGTCTGGGCTAGTACAAACAGCCGCACCTACACATACACACGCATGCACGTCGTCATATGAGCGAAATATTCTCAAGAACGACGTTAAACCCAATTTCACCTCACCTACGATTTCACGGCAGGGGACACAACAATGACACACGCTATTGTACTTATGTGGAGAATCAAGTCTTCACAGCGACGGGCTAAGATATGACGTAAGTGATAGTAGGACAGACATTTAAGCACCCGGACATTGTGGGTACCTTCTTTGTTGACTCAACTTTTATGGGACATATTTGCTTTTTTTGTTCTCCAGATTAGAGAGCTCTGCAGCGTGGAGCTGCTGCCAAACATGTTGCCGCTATATCCAGATCATGTGCAAGAGAAACAGGATGAAAAGTTCTGGAGGCCTGTCATCTTGGATGTAAGTTGGTTATTTATATAAGTACAATATTGATACATGAACCTCACAACTCGGGAACTCCAAGGTTGATCCACAAAACGTTCGTAGCACTATGCCATTCGTAAGCCTATGATAAGGTATAGAGTTACGATGGGTCGTAACGTTACGAACGCTTTGTGGATTGGGACCCAGAAACCTTTGTTAGATATAGACATATTTATTTGTATATGTGGCCCTGAGGCCAATAGTACAAGTGTACAATAATAACAGTACATTTATGCGCAACCTGTAAATACGCGAGTTATAGGAACATCAATAAATCCATAAACACCCATTCACAATTTACATTTTTTCTCTCAACATAAGTATGTGGTACAACACAAGGGCTACCTTAAACAACAAGTCAATATTTTCTGTGCGAAGTAGCATACAGAATGTTTGTCTCGACGGTTGGTTATAGAAAAAATAAGGCAAATATGTTTCTCTTATTTCTAAACGACCTTTGGTCGTGGGTTCGAATCCTGTTTTTTCCTGGCTATCTTTCAGGATTGTCAGCATCGTACTCGTCTTGTGGGTTTCACCAAATTGGTAATTGTTATTTCGGGTTTTCCTCCCTGAGCAAAACTGAGCTGAGATGGCATAAAATTTTCAGGGCTAACGGTTTTAGACAACATCGTTCGGAAGCTGGCTTTGAAGGCTAACGGGTTAGAACTGTGCTCGTAATGCTCCTAGATCTTCACTTAAACGTTAAACACTAACTCATCGATACGGGGATTATTCGTCACATGTTTTGTCCCTTTAGCTCGATAGAAAATCTCGCGTTTACCATAGGGGCGGTGTGGTAGTACATAATTTAGGATCTCTTTATGAAACAGGGGCTTATCTGATCGACTATAGTCACAATAATCTACATAAGAATGCACCGCAAATATAGTTTACTAATTAAATAATTTCGTTTAATATTTCAGATTGCACTGAACAGATTCGGCCATTTTGTCTTCGTGGAGCCAATGAGGTTCATTAAGAACGGCGTTGACCTTCGAGGTCACTATGCATTGTCACGTAAGGGCGGTGCAGCCATGTTCGGAACCCTGAAGAGCTACTCTAGTGCCGTTGTGACGAACCCCGAGATGTATTACTACCTTGCAGTAGACGTCCGTAAGTTGCTCCGATTGCAACACGTGGAGATCAATATGATGATCATGCACAACTCGAATCATCTGAAACATTTTTTCACCAGATGGCTGGTGCAGTGTGCCCTGGAAGAATACTGCATGGCACCTCCAGGGTCAAAGAGGAAGTGCAACCTCAACCTCTATCCCAAGTCCAAAAAGTACGCCGACTGTCACAGATACGACGAGTCGGCCATCAACCTCCTCCTGGCTTCGTGGCACAATTATGATATTGATCATTACGCCGCACATGACATTGTGACATCATATTTTGACGGCCGTGATGTTAGACGGTTCCTTAAAGTCTGTAATTTGTTACCAAAAGAATTATAAAAACGTTCAAAATTGGTTCCCTATCTATGATCTTCGGATCTCTCCCAAAACCGACAGAGATGGAAAACCAGCTTCCAAGATATCCCTGTCCCATGTTACATGTGTCATAGTTTGTTACACGTACATGCAGTTGAACCTCGTTATAACGTCATCGTTGGGTCTGGCCATTTTGTCGATTTAAATCGACCACAGCAACACGAAGGTGTCTCGTCTTAAGTTGCTGCTTCACTTAAGGAAGTGTTTCATAACTGAAACTTATTTTATCTACGTGACATCTGCACAAAATTGTAGCCGAATAAGAGATATCGATGTATTTGAAGTGTTTCAGCAACATCGAGTCAGGTATTTGTACATTAAATATGATAAATTATTAATAAAAAAAGTATCCATACGTAAGTGTCGATGTTTCAGCAAAATATTCGATATTGAAGATGTATATATTGTAATGTATCAATGTATTTAGAGTTATTTATCAATGTATTGGTCGAAATACGTTATGTAAATATCTAGCACAAAGACATGCCAAATGGACAAATCAGAAACATCTTTAAGTCATACCCCATCAAGAACCTGTCCATAGCTTTAAACATAACACTTAACCACTTAACTACCGGACAAAGAAAGAATGCACCCATATTATAGATAGCTAAACACGTAACAAAAAAAACCAACGTTTATTCGATGGTGATATATTTGATAAGGCTTCCATGGTTGTCCGCTGAACCTTACGCTGGCAGTGTTTTGATCATGTTCGGAAGTTTTGTGTTGATCCAATTTTCAAGTGTCATTTTGATTCTGGAAATCTAAACAAAATCTTACATAGTTAGGATAAACATGCTTGTCTGCCATATGCGTAACCTTAGATATTTGACGACGCAATAATATCCTTTAGGACAGATTTTTTTTGGAGATTCGTTTGAAACGAATGTGTTTTCGTATTGTAGCTTGGCTTTGTGGTCATATTGCAGTTTTCATAGAGAGTTGCGTCCCTTACCATATTGGGATTCTCGTTAGTCAGACTCACTGGTTAGGATTCTTGTTTTGTCAGCAACAGTCCGTGCTCACATGCCCATCTTTTGGATTATAATATAAAATATATGACGACAACATAGATAAATACGGTAAAACCCGCTCATGTTGAGTTAAAGGAAGTTATCGAGTGAGGCCCAAAGACCGGATGATCTCAAGTATCATGTGACCTAAATGCGTCACAAATCCCTTCCTTGCGCACAACACCAGGGACTTGTTTGTTTTTTTTCATTATTGTGCTAAGCGATGTCAATGGTTCATATTGTTGTTTATTGTGTGTTGATGATTGGATAATCAATGAGTGGAGGTATCGATGACGTATATACAAAAGAACATACATACCCAGAGTTTTGGTAATTTCTTAATAAAAAGACAACGTAAACATTTTGAAAAGTATTTTGATTGTGACTTGCATGACACAGACATTATATACAAGTTGCAAGAACTATGTGTTTAGGACTCGTAAGTCGCAATCAAAACATTATTTACAAAATATTTACGTTGATTTTTTAAATGCGATTCCGAAGACTGACTGACTGACTGAGTTTGGTTTTACGCCGCTTTAAGCAATATTCCAGCAACATCACGGCGGGATTCCAAAGAACCAGATGTATACTTTCTTTTGTGTGTCAGTATGTTTTCCATGTATACCTTTATACCGCCAAAACTGTTGACGGATACCTTCAACATTATGTTGGATTGTGACGAGGATGACTTGTATGCATTTAACTAAATTCCATGCATGATTTCGTGAGCAATAATTGATCGATATCAACATTAATATCTCCTTGTACATAGATGAAGATATAAACTGTGTTATGCCTAGTGGATATGAATGACGTGCTTTTTTGTTGAATTCATGTCTCTGTACACTATTATGGAAAAGGTAAATAATGAAATAAACTATTTGTGTAGACGTTGTCGTTCACAACTTGTGACTATCTCATCGTTGACATTGTCAACGCCTTGAACAATGAGAACGAATACTGTCCGCTACTATAGTGGGAGACCCGCCTAATACAAATCTATACTTCCAATGTCAGGAAACTCTGCCTTTCAAGTGATATTGCTGAAAACATTTTTTTTCCGTGAGACATTCATTCCTTTCATATAATCATATAAACAAATAAAGGAACACATGAAATGACACGTGTTCCTTTATACTTTTCCGGCTTTTCACCCACAGTGCAATACAAAGCATGCGAAGAAATCTGAATGTAGGAACACTTTTGCTATCATATGTTCCCTAATTTGTTTCCATGAGTATATAATGACGACAATGTCACAAAACGAACATAAGAATAACAAGGGTGGATTCTTATCAAACTGAACCTGTATTCAATCTTAGGCTTTTATTGTTTGTAATTGGAACACACATGCACTCATATCATGCATGTACGATCGAGCACGCGTGCACGCATGGACACACACAGTTAAAATGGGGGTGTCCTTTAAAAACAGCCCCCATCTAAATATAAATCGAGCAATCCAAATGTTTGAATGTTGATTATGACGGGCAGTCATCCAATACTATACCTAACATATTTTATATGATATTATCTGAGGGCATACCATTATCCAAGAGGTACAAAATGACAAATCGTTTTTCACTTTCTGCAATGTTTAAAGAAATATTTTACCCCAATGTGTTGTGATGACTAATATCTCGTTAACCATATTACCCACATATGTGCAATATTGGATATGGCTTTGCTAATGATTACTTCATAATGAAATGGAACCTTTTCTAACATTGGTCATCGACACACACAGACACACACAGACACACACACACCATAAAGATCAAAATATAATAGTGCTAAACAGTACATTTCTCAGTGCAATAGTTTCGGAGACAAAAGAGTGATAATGTAGCCAGGAGAGAATGTTTAGACCACTGGCACAATAAATATCCTGCAATATATTTATGATTCCTAAATGTGTTCAACACTTCAGTGATGTTGTTACAAGGACTGGGTCGGACATTGGTCAAATCTTTTTATGTTCCATGAAATTGTCGCCCTTAGAACACAATACCACTACATCTATCACAAGCCAACAACCACTAACAACACGGGGTGGGTTGTATATAAAATCTTTATTACAAATCATTAAGACACTTCACTGTCCGCCACACTGCGGGTTTGGCACGATTGAATCCACTGATCTCACTTTCTAACGATAAAGCGGGAGTTCATTTCCATTACAAAAACACACATTGAATACTAAACACATAAGACACTGATAACATATTGTGTATTTTCCAGGGTGGGTCGGGAGTAGATTATATATATTATCCTAATCAAAAATATATATCCACAAAAAATACAATAGAAATAAAGGAGCCCAGAGCAGTTCTTGACTTTATTCTAGACTTCAATTTTTACTACTTTCTAGTTATCCCTTCTGGGAGAGAGTGAGTGAGTGAGTGAGTGAGTTTAGTTTTACGCCGCACTCAGCAATATTCCAGCCTTATGGCGGCGGTGTGTAAATAATCGAGTCTGTACAAGACAATCCAGTGATCAACAACATGTGCATCGATCTGCGCAATTGGGAACCGATGGCATGTGTCAACCAAGCCAGCGAGCCTGACCACCCGATCCCGTTATCTGGGAAAGAGAATAAGTTGGGTGTGATGTGTGTGGTTGTGGGTTGTGTTGAGACACATTATGTCATCGCGACGGGTGACTGAATAATAGTTGTGCATCATACCTGAACATGATTGTTGTGTCAGTCTGATGGGGAATTCTGAAGTGGTTCAGATCTAAAATGTTTACTACTTAAGCAGCAGGTAATGGTATGGAACACATATATGGAATCAAGCACCCACCGTGACCAACGATCACAGGTTTCTGGCAGTTGTGTGGATGAGGCGATGAATGGGTGAGTGAGTGAAGGAGTGAGTAAGTGAGTGAGTGAAGGGGGGAACGAGCTACCAGGTATAATAAAAAATTACGAGAACCTATGAGCACAGATATACTCCTGAAAAACGTGGGAATATAAAACGAGGTTAGAAACCACGAGCTTAGATTTCTGGCAATCCGAACATCATAATTCCCAATAACAATGAGAATTTACGATCATCGTTCCACAAAACGAGCTTAGCTCTAAGGTGAACTCCCATACATAGGCTCATCCAATGACTAAGATGTGGAACAGGGACCAGGGCCCCGATTCACAAAGCTCTCGTAAGCCTAAGATCTCGTAACCTTTCTCGTAGCATTCACACCTCCTATAAACTAACATAGGAAGTACGAATGCTACGAGAAAAGTTACAAGATCTTAGGCTTACGAGAGCTTTTTGAAACGGGGCCCAGGCCGTTCCCCAGAGCCATGTTAGTGCTACGGCGACCGCAGGCCTGTGATAAAGTGTGGGCTTTACGATCCCCTGAGTGCTTAAGTCGGTACGATCAGTGTGCGAAATAGTCACCGTCCCGCTAGCCCGTGGCTAGTAAAAATTCAGGCGGACCAGTAAATCTCCACTGTCAATGGCCCGACTAGCTAGTGAATATTCATGGGGTGTTTTTGTAAATATATCACTCTCTCCGACTTAAGCTATAACACACTTTCAAATCATGCAAGGTTATGGTCTGATAAAAATGTTCATCATATTAGCAGCTTAATGATGAAACCCGTGTCTGCATTCATATTTCGGACTAGTGAATTGTGTAGTGGGTTAGTAACTTTCAGGCATAGCAAGCCCCACTGGCTAGCAAAATTTAGAAACTGTTTCGCAAACTTGGTACGATGAACAGGGACCTTGACGGTATCTTTGTAAATATCTTTGTCTGAGGGTAGAGACAGCGCGGAGAGATTCTGGACAAATCTGTTTTCCAAAATTAAAATCGTAAAAGGGGCCAATCGTAAAAGGGGCCCGTGCGGAAAACTATGACAACAGATTCGAATCCCTGTTCGACAGAGTTTTGTTTTTAGGCTTGTCAACAAAATACCCGTGCTCGTAAATTTAAAAAAAAACGGCCCATGTCTGAGACCTACGTCAGTTTGGGCATTCGTTTAACATTAATTAGGCTCAGATGCTGTGATTTAACGTGAATACTTTTCAAAGCGGATTAAAATCAACTCATTCACTCTCGTAACTTGTCTTGTAAGAAGCTAACAATGTGAGTGAGTTTAGTTTTACGCCGTTTTTAGCAATATTCCAGCAGTATCACGGCGGGGGACACCAGAAATTGGCTTCACACATTGTACCCAGTGGGGAATCGAACCCGGATATTCGGCGTGACGAACAAACGCTTTAATCATTAGACTACCCCACCGCCCCTAGCTAACAAAGGAAACTGACAGTCGTTTCAGTTATGATTTAAATCTATGTAACTGTGTGTGTAAAACTTCACTGAACATCTGCATTTGAGCTGTGAGTGTGGCATAATATATGAATCATATTGCTGGTGTGGATCCATATTGCAACTATACAATTAGTGTACAATGTATATACAATGTATGCACAGACAAATACAAGTAAGGCACGTTGAAGGCACAGACGGTGATGCACAAGTGTCACGATGTAACTGCTGTGAGACACCATTCAACACTAGCATATCTATTTAAATCATTATATATACAAATTTACAAAATTCGTACGAAGTTCCGAAGATCGACGACCAAGGCACTTTATATCATATTCCACTGTCCCATAGCTTAATAAGTTATTATATACAAAACAAAATAAAAATGTCTACGTGACGTAAGCGAGAGGATTCCGACCTTCTGGCCTCGTTCTGGGCAGTTTGAGACCCCCGCGAAGGTCGGTCATGTGACAGGGACCACGTGACTCCGGTAAAGCACATCCTGGTGGCGGAGACCATGAGCAGGACGGGGACCCCGGCATCCAGCCTGCATACCAGATGTACCCCCCGGGCAGTGTCCAGGGACTCCAGGGGGAGGACGATGGGGGCTGGTCCCTCAGGGGTGGGATGTCGGACACTGGGACTGGCATTGATTTTCTTTCTTCATTCACTGAAATGGCAACGCCTGAATATTATGATTCCATTTGATACGAATAACTTATGGAGAAACCTGATGGCTCGTGGTCCTTTTCATGGAGCCTAGGTCAATGGTAAGATTAAGTTAAGCAACGACTGTGAGAAGTGGCGGCACCTCAAGAACGTGACTGTTCGAAACATGCCTCTGTTCACCCACCAATGAGAGGGTACCCGGTAGGATGAGACGTAAGGACTGTTATCCGAGGCAGAAAACTTCAGTTGCATGCTCCCCAGGGACACCAGTATGAATAATTGGTTGGTTTGGGTTGTTGTTTAACACCGCACTCAGCAATATTACAGCTACATGGGAGGCGGTCTGTTAGAATTGGTCTTCAGTAACCCATACTTGTCGTGAGAGGCGACTAACGGGATCGGGTGGACAGGCTCGCTGACTTGTCATCATATCCTATTTGCGTAGATCGATGCCCATGATGATGATCACTGGATTGTCTAGTTCACACTCGATGTTTACAGACCATATGGCGGAAATATTTCTGAGTGCGGCGTTAAACAACAACCAACCACTGGGCCATACAGATCGGAGGGTGAACCAGACGTTGTGACCACAAGATCCTCATTTCGGTCAACTCTCACTTCAAGCATGGGATCCTGGGATCATAATCTGCTCCTAGTGAGTGAGTGAGTTGGGGTTTTCGCCGCCTTAAGCAATATTCCAGCAATATCACGGCGGGAGACACCAGAAATGGGCTTCACACATTGTACCCATGTGGGGAATCGAACACTGGTCTTCGGCGTGACGAGCGAACGCTTTAACCACTGGGCTACCCCACCGCCCCTAATCTGCTCTTAAGGGCGTGTGGTCACTTCAACGACTTTCCGTAAACTACATTTTCAAAAAAATCATTTACCTTCCGATTGAGACACACTGACTTTAGGAGCAACCCCTTTCCTCCATTTTGCTCTTCTGTTCTGGAACCACACCTGCAAAGCACCAAAAATATAGCATTCTCAATTGTTGCAGTTTACCATAAATATATATGTAGTTGCCAACACATGTGCTGAATTTTGGATAGCTTTGGTTTTAGGCACAGGGGATCGAATCACTGTTTGGACAATAATTTTTAAAAATCAAAATCTAGACTTTTGCAATCATATATTGTTTCTATATGTTATGATTAACAAATGTTTCAAATTTGAACAGTGATTTGAACCCCTGTGGTTGTAAATCAGCAGAAACGTATTTTACAATTCTTTATAATGAAACTTTATAAAGATAAACCTTCAGGTTAGTGGTGGTCCGATTAATTGAAATAATCGAAGATTGGTCGCAGTGGCCAAACGACCAAGCAATCGATCACATTTTCTCATAATCGAACAAAAACGATTTTGGAACCGCTGTAATAGAGTTTGAAATACTTTGATGGAACATATCTAGGACGTTGTCAGGGCGGTTTTAAACGTGTTTATTTCTAAGAACACTCACTTCACTTTCTGAAAAGTCACGACTGAATATTTCTTGAAGAATCTGGGAAGTTTATGTTACACTGGAACTGAATCATTTTACACTGGATGTGAAATCTGCAAATGTAATTTGTGCAGTTTCAATAAACAACAGAGAATCAAATGTTTTTTTTCTTTATACTTATCTGCAACTACAACCTGAATAGGAAAATCTGAAAAATGACGCTAACCAATTTGTTTCAATGATTGGTCGTTGGTATTGAACCAATCATCAATTGTGAGATTTCAACCAATTTCCAACACTACTTCAGGTTTAAATTATACTTTTTAGATACGCTATCGTTGGCAAAGTTTGGCCTTATGGTGGGTAGTGCGTAAGGTACAATTATAGAATGTTTTAACATATCTTGCGAAATTGGACTTATCGATTATGTTCACAAGACATACACACTTGACAACGTTTACAGGGAATATATTACCACTCAATGACTCTCTGATCAACCAATCAGGTACGAGGTCGTTTCATGAGGACTCAATATAGAACAAACTTTATGGATAACAATTTCGTATATTTGTCAGTGCGACGTTTCGATACAGATTCCTGTACCGTTGTCAAGCATGACATCTGTATCGAAACGTCCCACTCACAAATATAAGAAGTTGTTATCCATAAAGTTTGTTCTATATTGTACTTTCCAACTTCTAAAATGACAATCAAAGAAGTCATGGGGACTCTCTAATCAGCCAATCAGGTGCGAGGTCGGTTCATGAGGACTCTCTGAACAGACTTACCTGCACGCGTGTCTCGTGAAGCCCCAGTCTCTGAGCGAGTTCTTCTCGTGTCACAACATCCGGGTAAGGAGCTCGGCGGAACGCCTTCTCCATCTCCTCCAGTTGATACGGTGTGAAGGTTGTCCTGGAGAACAAGACAGTGTTGATGAGAAAGAGTTTGAAGCCACTTAGAAACATAATTTTGATGAGGGCGTGCCATCTAATATGAGGTGAGGTGAGGTGAAATTGGGTTTTACGTCGTGCTTGAGAATATTTCGCTCATATGACGACGTGCATGCGTGTGTATGTGTATGTGCGGCTGCTTGTACTAGCCCAGACTTAAGCTGGTTTTATAGTGCTAGCCCACTGAGATACCATGCCGCAGTGAAGCATGAATACCCCACTCAGACACATTATACTGACTCCGAGCCGACCAGTCCTTGTTGTACCCATCAATGCCGAGCGCCAGACAGGGACCAACAAGTACCATATTTTAACGTCTTTTTTGGTATGACGCGGTCGGGGATCGAACCCGCGACCTTCCGCTCTCCGGGCGGACGCTCTAACCACTACACCACGGAGGCGGTCGCCATCTAATATGAAAACAAAAGAATCAAAGTGGTGCTGGTCATCATCCAGACTAAGTCTTTGAATTTATAATAAAAATATTATACTTTTGATAAAAATTCATTCAGAACATAACGAAATCTAGACTTGCTTTTTTTAGGGTTTGAGTATTGCAGAAGGGGCTGGGAAGAAGCTAAATGATTTGGTTCGGGTACTGTGAGACAAGAGAGTCACAGCCGATCGTATAGGTAAAGATACACACAGCAGGTTAATTATGACGAAACAGTTACGATCCTAAGTGGGGAGAAGCTGGATCCCAAACCATGATGTGTATCCTGGCGTAACAAGGGGACGCAAATCTGCACAATGAGTTGCGGGGCCGTAAAACATTTAATCAAAATACGGACTGAATTTCATGAGAATGACCAATATTTGCAAATATGTTACTGTTTCTTTTCATTTCTAGAGATGATGATGATGATGATACCTGTGACGAGGCTTTTTGGGTGTTTGGTTGTGATTTTTATCGTTACTATTTTCCTCTGTGTCTTGTCTGACGTCATCATTCGAATCCTCCCATGTGCGCATGACAAGAAAACTCTTTCCGCCTGAAACAGCAACCAAGATCAGAACATTTTACACACATATCTCAACAACTGGACACATTTCTGAACACTCGAGGAAGACACGTGGGACACAGATTATTGTACTTTTACATCTATCACTATAGTCTGTCTGCAGTGAAAACGTACCGATGAATGTCACTTTAAACCAAAAAGTAAAACAAATAAAGTAAAATTAAGACTGCGAATCCTCATGATTTTACCTTGCCAATTGAACATTTAAATCTCAGAATTGTATTCGACTTAGGATAAAAAATGTTTAACAAACGATCATAGTTTCACATGGCTATTATTGGTTTGTATTACGAGGGGATATGCACATCAAATGAAACACTGAAAACGACAAGGGTTGTTATAAGTTAACGCTCTTCACGTACCGCACGTGCATTTGTTTCACTGTTCCAACTACTGCGCTTACCCCCTTGTAATACAAACCAGTAAAAGCGATTTGAATCTATGATCGTTTGTTAAACAACTTTTATCCTAATTTGAATACAATTTTGAGATTTAAATGTTCAATTGGCAAGGTAAAATTATGAGGATTCGCAATCTAAATTTTCACTTTATTTGATTTACTGTTTTAATTAAAGTGAAATTCATCGGTACGTTTTCGCTACAAACAGACTATAGCCACTTTTACTGAAAAAATGTTAATCGTCAGTTTAAACCTACACAATATCCAGATCCCATGAAAATAACTCCATCAAAGACATGTCACCGGTTAGGAATAGTTCAAACTGTCTATTTTCACACATTGTATATTATTTTAATCCAAGAAATAATTTTGACTTATTTAAAACTATATATCAATAAGAAAATAAAATATAACCCCATAGGGAGACCAGAACAATTTTCAATTTCAGGCCTAAAGCTGATGCCATCTAGACATGCTAAATCATTCTTGACTTGAACTCCTTATTCATTTTATTTCCTTGGGTCTTGGGTGGTGGGTCACTCGTCACGCCGAAGTCCGGGGTTCGATTCCCCGCATGGGAACAATGTGTGAAGTCAACTCCCATACTTTAACATAGACTTACGACTATCGTAGCGCTACGATCGCTTTGAGGAACAGGGACCTGGTGTTCCCTGTCGTGATATTGCTGGAATATTGCTAAAAACGGCGTAAAACTAAACTCACTCACTCACTCCTCGGGTCTGGTAGAAAGACATTGCCGGATCACCAACTCTAGTAGTGAACGCAATAATAGTTGCTCCAACAAATAATTTGGATATAAGCTTAACAAATCGATAATAATGATTATGATTGTGATTATTAAATCCTCGACCCAACGCAGTGTACGTTTCGATAGATCATAAAAGAAAAATAATGACATGTAAAAAAAAGTGGTAAACTTTAACTCATGGGAAAATATTACTACTTATATTGTCATTATTAATATCCAACAAAACTTAAACAACGATAACATAAACCAGGATAACCATGTATATACGAAATACTTATAAAGAGATAAACTGATAAACGCAGTGAAAGTTACGAATGCTGAGAATGATAATATATATCAGTCCTCACTGGGGTGCATCATTACAGGACATAAATAAAAAAAAATAATGGATAAATAACTAGCTGTACGAACTATTCCTAAATGACTTCCAACAATTATATACTGCCTACGTATTGATATTAGCGGTCATAAACGTCTGTCTTTATGACAGTACTCTTCCCAAATGATACAGCTAATTCGCATAACCCGTGGTATGTGCACAGCTAATTTTAGAGAAAATTGCTCAAGTTAGGATCATTAAAATTCATTTTCAACAAACAGAGATATATTTATTATTCAAATAACCCAATCATAAATAATTTCACGATTCGTATTTAGATCTCATTGTATTTGCCGATGAGTCACCGAGCAATGCTTATTGTCTATTGGATAATAAATGCCAATTTCATTTCATGATTGAAGGGTTTGAAATTGACAAGAACGAAGCACCAAGCACACGGGACATTCACACGTTTTTAATGCAGCAAATCACTGCCATTTTCAGGGTTAATTGTTCAATGTTTGCATTTTTTTCATAAGTTTGAAAAGATTATCCCTTGACATTCAAAGAGCTTCGGGGGCTATGATTAACATTTTCATTATATCATTCCGCAGACGGAGCGATGAGCTGAAATTATCTTGGTGAAGTTGAAATTGAAATGTCAGCGAAAGTATAGTGCATAAACAGTGTCATTATAGAATGATGAATGGGGTGATAATTGCAAATTACTGAAAGGCATTCGTGACTGGACGGCATATGAATTTAAAAGAGAGACATATCCACAGCTAGGTATGGAACTGGCCTTAAATCAGAGTGAGTGAGTGAGTTTAGTTGGCACTTTGGCAATATTTCAGCTGTATGGCGGCGGTCTGTAAACAATCAAGTCTGGACCAGACAATCAAGTGATCAACGTCATAAACATCGTTCTTCGCAATTGGGATACGATGACATGTGTCAGCCAAGTCAGCGAGCCTGACCACCCGATCCCGTTAGTCGCCTCTTACGACAAGCATGGGTTAGTGAAGAGCAATGCTAACCCGGATCTTCATGGGTCCCTTAAATCGGAACAGAAGTTTCCCGAGGTTTACTTTCAAGAAGACCCACGAAGATCCGAGTTAGAATTGATCTTCAGCATCCCATGCTTGCTGTAAGAGGCGATATGCGGTTGATTTGGTTGATGTGCGTCACCGTATCCCAATTGCGTAGATCGATACTCATTCTGTCAACCACTGGATGGTCTGGTCCATGCATGGTTATTTACAGATCACCGCCATATAGCTGGAATATTGCTGAGTACGTTATAAAAAAAAAAAACTTTCAAGAAAAGCAAATTGCAACATTGTTACTAAGCTAAATTTCTCAACATGTTTTGTTGGACGGCGTACGCCTGGTAATGAGTGAAATCGACTCACATAGCTGCACACGAAATAAACGAGATTTCATGCTTACATGACAGCTATCTAAATGGTAATGTGTAATCACAGAACCGTAACTTCTTATAGCGTTTCGGTTAATTTATAAAGAATTAAGCAGAAACGCACTATATGTTTTATTAACTGAAGGAAGGTTACATACGGATGCTTGGGCGAGTGAATTTAGTTTTACGCCATTTCTAGCAACATTCCAGCACTATCGCGGCGGGGGGACACCAGAAATAGGCTTCATATATTGCACCCATGAGGGGAATCGAACCCGGGTCTTTGGCGTGACGAGCGAACGCTTTAACCACTAGATTACCCCCATCGCCCCTCCATACGGATGCTCATTCTTTGTAATTTAAATACACTTAAATGTGTACATCTAGTATGATGTAATACAGACAATGGTAATTACAGGCAATTCATCGTTATTGATAATTATTTCCTCTCTCCTTTCCAAACATAACAGGGCGGTGGGGTAGCCTAGTGATTAAAGCGTTGGCTCGTCACGCCGAAGACCCGGGTTCGAATCCCATCATGGGTACAATGTGTGATGCCCATTTCTGGTGTCCCCCCGCCGTGATATTGCTGGAATATTGCTAAAAGCGGCGTAAAACCAAATTCAGTCAGTCAGTCAGTCCAAACATAACATGGTATTAGTATTAATAAGCATTTTCATATTACTATTATTTCTGATACAACCTCCTCGTAAAATAATCGCATGAATCATCTTCACAAGCTTCTAAAATTATCTATTTATACTATATTTATACCAGTTTATTGATTTAAACGTTTAAAACAAGTTAAGTCATCTGTGTTTGTTACAGTTACAAAGCGTCCCATAAATAGAAATATATCATGATATATTACAGTAACATTATTGGAAGCGCCAAATAACTTTATGACAATTTAAAAACTGAGTAGTAACTTAGTAAAACATCGTACGTGTTCTAAGAGAAAATTTGATCTGATGTTTTTGAAACTACAGAAGTTGCCGCACTTAGTAGTATTGCCATTATGTCGAGAGCTTTTTAATTTCGTTGACTGCTTATGTCAATCTTGTACACCACTCTTAGGATGTGACATGGAAAACCTTGGAATGTTGTGACGTGGGTATTATTATCAGTAGTAGTAGTAGTAATAGTAGTAGTAGTAGTAGTAGTAGTAGTAGTAGTAGTTGTAGTGAGTGAGTTTGGTTTTACGCCGCACTCAAGCAATATTCCAGCTACATGGCGGCGGTCTGTAAGTAATCGAGTCTTGACCACACAATCCAGTGATCAACAGTATGAGCATCGATCTACGCAACTGGGATATGATAACATGTGTCAACCAAATCAGTGAGCCTGACCACCCGATCCCTTTAGTCTGCTCTTACGACATGCATGGGTTATTGAAGATCAATTCTAATCCTGATCTTCACGGGTATTAAAATAACAGAGTCTGTTCTGAGAATCTGTATATAGACTCCCAACTATGATTAATAAAGGAACAAAATTATCCACCTATGTATCATAAGTACACATAAAGTGTAAAGCATACTATCTGCCCTGTACTCGATCTATCTCGTATAATCATCTACGGACAGTTCATAATTTGTGGCTAGGGGGGTGATGATGATTCTAAGTAAAGGTCACCCATTTTGTTCTGGGGAGGTAGGGTGGGGTCATCAATTTTGAACACATATACTCACAACTTGTTTGAGTGGCATTTAGAAGTTGGTGTGATGAACAACGAGGAGAGTTGTATAGATACAATTTCTTTAATATTAATGTGAGCCACGCTTCCATATATACTGGTAGGGGGGTAGGTGGGCCATTGATTTTGTACATAACACGTAGGAAGGGGGGGGGGGGAGAGACTTGCTCTGTACATTTTTAAGGGAGGGAGGGGCATCATTCACATTGTATATGCTTCTCCATAAAATCACCATCACCCCGCTAGCCATAAATTATGAACGGTCCCTAAAGGGCAATAACCATTCTTTGTTTTAGTCTGAAACAGATTAGCCAAGACCACGTGGCACGTAACATTCACGCATGATGTTTACAGACACCTTTCACCAAAAGGCAATAATCATTATTCGCGATAAGTTAATTCCAGATGCATTTACTGCATTTGCAAAAACGTCCTTGAAAAAAGGGTAAATGCAGTAAAGTGTCAAAAAGTGACGATTAAACCGACTCCATTGGTAAAGGCGGCACAGTTGCAAAGACGGATGATACAGTGTTTACTTTTCAGGTTTAATTCGTGTTACAGTTCTCAAGTACAGATGTTAACAGTGTACATAGCGTTTGAAAAAACGAAACAACATTGTATACTCCGGTGATAGTTTTTGTTTACAGATATTTCTTGTTTGCAAAATACAATGTATTCTTATGCACCATACGCATGTTGTCATGTTATTGTTAAAACTGAATTCCTAAAATAAGAGACACACTCCGCTCCGTTGACTACCGCTTAATTTGTCTCTTGGTCTATAACGTTATTTTCATAGAAACAAATAATTCCCCTTAAATTGAACAGTAGCCCCAGTTAGATGGGAGATTAAATCTAGACTTGCCTCATTTAGGGTAGACTAACGCTAGTCTCTGAATATATATAATTTTGATAGTAACAAACAAGACCATTTAAATTGAAAAGGAGCCCCGGGGAGACCAGATATTCAGACCCTGAGGAAATCTAGACTTGTTTTATTTATGGCTTTAGCAGACTATCAACTCCGAAAAAAACTCAGTTTGACAATGAATAACGCCGTTCATTCCAGGCAACATATGATGATACGAGCTGTTGTATATTGACTTGAGCTTGATTTGGTCTAAAAGCAAGTTTTCAGACGTGAATTCCTCGACCCGCAAACTTAGAAAATAACGATTTTGAACTGTACGACCTCAGACCTTCTTCCGACGCGAGTTTAGTGCATTTGGTAGTCAACGCCTTAACTTAACATGACACATTTTTAAAGGATGAAGTCATCTAATAAACAAAAGCATACGTTTTTATACATACAACAGGGGCGAATGTCCTTCCTATCGCATTGTGCTTTTATTACAACATAATTACGAGAACAGGACCGGAGTACCCGCATGATATTAACAACCCTTGTCGATTGCACAGCCTTGTCACTTGTCAAGTGAACATCATTAGTCGAGCGCTTGCCACACGCGGCGCACGTGATTGCCGTGCGTGTTTACACAGCCAGTTGAACAGACAGCTGTCCGGCTTTGTCCGCAGGGCAGGTGATAGGGGCGGGACAGGGGCTGAAAAGGGGCGTGACTGAAGGTCTAAATGTCAACCGAATGTGGCCACTATCTTGGTCCTTTTGACAGCTTTTATGTCCGACAAATCAGAGCAATAAAATATCGTAATTACCAACACTCAGCTGGAATCTTCAAATAAGTGTTTAGTCAAGCTCTTATGCAGGTATGTAAATTATGATGTAGAAGTTTAGGGCTTCGTTTTGACCATCTGCTAAACTGCTTTAAACGTTAATGTGGCGACAGTGGTAACGACGTGAGAATGTAGATACATTACTGAATAGTTTATACTACTCAAAATATGTAAGAGTGGATTCGATTCTTATATATTACGTTAGTATATCTGTCAAACCATACAGAATAACTTTAGCAATATGAACATTTCCGATAATCTTTTGAGTAGAATAAACTATACTGAACAAAACTTTAAGGATCGACAATACTTTTGTGGTAGTTTTGTGCCCAAGGTATTAATGATCCCCATTCTTATTGTTTGAATTATTATCTGTCAGCGTATTGTGTGTCCACTGGGCACCTGATCCTCAATTTATCCCTTACATGCACGTGGTATACAGGTAGGTTTAGCGCTTAAAAGCTGTCTTTTTACGTTCAACGCTTTAGCTGATTAAATGGTTTTATTAGACCTGCGTAACCTTCCGCATATACATGTATTCCAGTCATATGGCGGCAGTCTGTAAATTAACGAGCCTTGACTAGACAATCCAGTGATCAATAATATGAGCATCGATATATACGCAGTGTGGATACGATGACGTGTTAACTAAGTCAGTGTGCATGAGTCGCCTCTCACGACAAGCATGGGTTCCTGAAGGCCTGCTATAGATATGTAAAGATAGATATGTTTCTACAACATTAGTGCATGCGTTGTACAACAACAGGTGCCTGTGAGAAATATAAAAAAAACGTGTTAGTGTTTAATATAGATTTTTGGTGAACAATAAAAACGAACTCTTTTGTATATCACAATATCACAATCAGATATCAGCTAGCGTATGGAATGCGCCCTTCCTGGGTTTCAATTACTTCTGATTATTTGTATTGTGTGGCCATGCAAATATAGCTGACATCTTCATTTGCGGGAATGCGTGTGGATAATTGTTAATATTAAATGCAATACAATACATGTAAATTTTGTGCGACAAAAAGTCAACAATTGGTTCACTTGATATTTGCTCCCGCATATAAACAGTAATTACGTCATAATTAATAATCGTAAATGAAATATGATATTTACACTCCTATTAATGCCTGTTTATTCAACGTAACGATCGGCGTAGATTGTATTTTAAATTTTAATATAGGGGTTATTGTCGATGGCAATATTCTGAACAATAAAAGTTGAGGACCAGGAACATTTTCGGGGAATTTTATGTGAATTTTATTTTAAAAAATGTCTTGTAAATATCCACGATCTTTGCGGTCCTTCGTTCATTGCATTAATATTATGTTATTCGGGCAGAACCTAAACGAAAAGTGATTAATATATAATAATGTATGTGGTCCTAATTGACATGCTGTTGGATGGGCAATTAACACAATACAACGAATTATTTAAGGGGATTGTGTAAATTGGTTTAAATGTAACTTTATAAAACAACGAAGGAACACACATTGACCAAATTCAGACTTCAACGAAATGAAAGATCGGTATAACAGAGAGAGAGAGAGAGAGAGAGAGAGAGAGAGAGAGAGAGAGAGAGAGAGAGAGAGAGAGAGAGAGAGAGAGAGAGAGAGAGAGAGAGAGAGAGAGAGAGAGAGAGAGAGAGAGAGAGAGAGAGAGAGAGAACATATTTTTTAATTTTAAATAAATCTAACGGAAGTGCAATGTCATTATTTTCTACCAAAACATTGAAAGATGCCCAACTAATTTTGCTTGGTCATAAAGTTGTATCCTTTTCTTTACTGAAAACCTCTTTCAGTGCTTGGATGTAGCAGGTTTGTTTCTGGAATGGGGCGACCCGTGCATGCAGACACATTCAATTTACCGTGGTCCTCGAGGTAGGTGTAAGGTGAGAGAGGTGTCTTCATTTCACAGTTTCCACAATTTAATTACCTATCTAATATATCACGATACGATGGTAGAACACGTGTTTGGTGCTAAAATTAATATTGTCTTTGCATTGTTGTAAAATTATAGACACAGAATAATATTGATGACGGTGTTAAAGGAAACGCAATTATTGTCAACCCTGCTGTACGTAACTAACACCTATACATTGAAACACACTTGTGTCTCTTTAAATACTCACGTAGTTCACAAAGGAACATATATCCGGATTAAGGGGGGTCAACTGTAGCATTGACGTACATATGTTGTGTTGATGGACAATAAACAAGGAAACAAACACGTAATTTATACGTAAACAATATAATTCTTACTTATTACTCCGATAACAAACTATTTATATTCAAATAATTGAATTTCTGACATAAATGGCAGATTCGTTTCTTGACATTGATATCAAAATTGATTCTATTGATATATGTGTGTAAACACTAAATAAATTGATATTTAATTATTAAACAATTACACAAATATATCTTAAGAAATACCGAAAAATCATTATTGCGTACAAATATTCGGCTAATTGTCAGAATGATTTTGAGAAATGCAAGAATAATAACTGAATTATTTCATTAATTACGAAAGTAACGATTGATGATAATTAATTGACATAAAGTGGAATGAGCTAATTAGATTCACATATCTTGTAACTGATAAAAATTAAATAAAGTGGTCTGCAATTATATTTCAATTTTTTAGAACTTTGATAAAACTATTAAAAAAATGACTTACCTGCGTGGGAGTCGTCTTTAAACGTTTGAGTGTCAGTGGATGTCATGTCCATATTGAAATTAACAAGCTACTGTGCTGCTACCAGCACTGTAAACTCCGGAGCCTCCCTGCAATAGACAACAACTAGGAAGTTTCATCAACTGTCCACCTTACCATTTATACATCACTGTAATAGCAGGGGAGAAATCATTGGCTGTAATAAACGTCTATTAGCGCAATTGAAGCCAGTCGCACGAAGAATGACAATAGATATTAATTGGTCTAAAGTGCTCAATTACAATTTCGTCACGACGGAAGTGGGGTCTGCAATATCAGAGCGAGGCTCTCTCGGTGTTTGACGTGCTGGCTTAAATAAATACCGACGTCATAACTATTTGAATTCTACAAATAAAGATTAAAATAGAACCCTGATTGTCCTAGCGAGAGTGGTTTGCGTCATGCTGGTCAGGTGGTAGTTGGCACACAGGGGCTGCACGCGCAGATCGCGCCCTGACGTCACTGGGTCGAGCAAGGGGCACGCGAGCCATGTTTTTGACTCGTCTCTGGGTATTTAAAGATCGGAGTCATTTAACCGGTCAAAATGTCCCTCAACAAATTTCCCATCTGCAAATGACTAATGATAGAAACGAACAACCTTTGACATGCTCCACGACCTTGTAACTCGATGATTGACGGCTGGCTCAAGTGTGTGGCACATCCTATTGAAATTAACCACTTCAACTGGACAATGATAATTTGTGTGATAACACCAAACTACAGCTGATCACAGAAGTCAAGTTCTAACGATTTGCCGCCTTGTTTGTGCTGTCATTTAAGTTACCCGCATAGCACAGTGAGGACCGACTTAATGAGAGCACATTAATTTTGATTTGAATGTTCATTTACAAGCCCTTAGCCTCATAAAACACCTCGGATAAGGCACATTTGAATTCGCAATTGTTGGATTAAACAATTTCTCAGTCTATTTTTGTTGTGAAATTTATTCATGAAATCAAACCCTGTTGGGGGTAAAACTTGTGCTCCGTCTCTTGTTCATTACTGGACTTATTACCATAGTGGATGCGTCCTAAAAATAATTAATATAGGAATCTTTTAATTTCTTTTTTTTTCATTTTAAAAATACTCCTCGGATCCCCATGAACAATTACTGTTCATTTGGCACTTATTAAACCCTCTTTAACTCGAATTCCTGGGATCAATCGAAGCTATATGAGTCATATGCAGTTCGGGACAAACGGAATGTTTGTTCTAGTCATAAGTGACCCCAGTTGAATCATTTATCTCGAATTCATGACATTTGCGTTAACTTCGACTTAAGGATTTTTTTGGTTAAGATTGCCCAAATCACTCTCCCGAAAGAATGAGGCTTTAGGGACAAACTAATGATCAGTAACTTTTAACGAACTTTCCCTATCGTGATTCCAGAATAACGAATCGGGCTGCAACGATATAAAGGGCTACTGAAGTTCGAGTTAATGTGGTTACACTCTATTTCGATTTCTCTCTCGAATGAATCAGGTGATGCTATTCTTGTCACTTTTCCGCGCATGTCACATTGTTTGGTGATTTTTTAAGTTTCTACGGAAACATTTTCGTGCCAGAGTTTAAAATTTTATATCGTCTTCCTATATGAGACTTCCATCTACAAATGTAAGATTATAATCTATCTAGAAGAAAGATTAATCGCCTATCGAATTCGTGACTGTTGTCACAATATTTTCGAGTAACTGACAATAGTTTTGGGTCACTTTTATATAAAAGCCGGCTTCATAATGACCCATTGGTTATATTTTTTGATTATCTGACTAATACATAAAGTAATTATAACCCTTCATGTAAACATGTCGGAATTTTTTGGGGATATCTTAGTACTTTTGTTTTATTGCTGATAGTTTTAAAATTTCAAATGATTTCATGAAGTTGTGAAAATACGTAAAACGCCCCAAAATAGAATACCAGCGTGCTGCCTGAATTTAAATAAATTATTCAGGTGTTTGTATAAACTATATTCATCTATTTTTACGAACTCTATGCAACGATGTTCGCAACTTCACAAGACAATATCGCGGTGTGGGTAACGATACGCATGATAAAATATTATATATGGTACCCTTGAAGATCCGGGTTAGAACTGGTCTTCAGGAACCCATGATTGTGAGAGGCGACTAACCGTTGGCCAGGCACACTGACTTAGTTAACTCGTACCATTGTATCCATTTCGTGACCAATGCTCTTGATGTTGATCACTGGATTGCCTGGTCCAGACTCGATTATTTACAGACCGCCGCCATATAGCTAGAATAAAGTCAAATGGGCATTGTATCTAATACAAATGTTATTTAATACCAGTTTTGTGTATATTAGAGGGGCGGTGGGGTAGCCTAATGGTTAAAGCGTTGGCTCGTCACACCCAAGACCCGGGTTCGAATCCCCACATGGGCACAATGTGTGAAGCCCATTTCTGGTGTCCCCCGCCGTGATGTTGCTGGAATATTGCTAAAAGCGGCGTAAAACCAAACTCAGTCAGTCAGTCAGTGTATATTAGATATATAATGGTACAATTATTTTCGAAAATGTATTTAACTCCTGTGATATTAATGTACTACGCCCATTAGCTTTGTATTGATGCAAGTTATTCAAAATGAGATCGACAGAGATGTAACACTCTGGATATGTGACCTAAATGTACTCTTTCAACTTTTTATGGACCATGTGGTTTGAATTACGACACAAACGTGACTGATGAGAATAGTTTCAGAATATTGCTGATTGCGGCGTAAAATAAACAAAACAATATAAACCCAAAAATGAAAGGATTTTCTACCGAGATAAAAGTGTCTTCCATGCAGACGAAAGTATCAATAAGGGCAGTATTTTTTTACTGTGTTTCGCAGCGCCCGACCGACCCTTCTAACTTTATTGCCGGCCCCCCGAAAACGTTTTTTTCTCATTCCAACACCGCCGACTCGAACCTAAAACGTACCGCCTTGTCATATAAAATGTTTATCTTATAATCAGTCGCTGACCCCAAAGAACGCGAGAAATTTGTAATAAGAATTGCAATAAACGAGAATCAAGAACATTATTCAGATAATTCTGTCTTTATTACTTTTTTGTTTGATTTTGTTTTTCCCGATCGCCCGACCCATGTTCAAAATTTGGTGGCTACGTAAAACACATAAAAATGATGCCCTAACGTAGATTAGTACCTACGCAGATGATAAACGTGTCTTTGACTGTGGCACGAATAGGCTTCCGTAAGTATCCATAATACAGCATTTTTATGTTTTCGAATTAGCCCCACCCCCGGGCAGGCTGTCGTTGTCTGTGTAGTTGACCAACCTGCCGTGGTATTGACCCACACTTGTCTGCCATAAGCTGGGGGTAATTTTCAATGAGTCATCAACGTGGGATAAAGCAACTGGCCTCTAACATGTTGGTATTTTGCAGATACACTTCCAAACCGAAGCATGGTGAAGTTCCCATAGTGTATGTACACGACGCGTTCGGTGGTTATTTTTATTGCAACTTCATATTCGTGGGAATTTGTGACAAATATTATGTTTTGTAAGACACTCCATCCCACCCCAATGAAAGCAAAGATTAAAGAAAAACAACAATCAACTACCCGTGAAGATCCGGGTTAGAATATTTTAATTGGTCTTTAGCAACACATGGTTGTCGTAAGAGGCGACTAAATGGATCGGGTGGTCAGGCTCGCTGACCTGGCTGGCACACGTCATCGTATCCCAATTGCTTTGCACCAATGTAGGGAATTGAACCCGGGGCTTGGACTTGACTATCGAACGTTTTAACCACTTTAACCGCTACCCGAGAAGATCTGAGTTAGATCGCGTAGATCGATGCTCATGATGTTGATCACCTGATTGTCTGGTCCAGACTCGATTTGTTACATACTGCCGCCATATAGCTTGAATGTTGCTGATAGCGGCGTTAAACAACAAACAAACAAACAGAACGTACTGCCACGAGTCATGCAGTACTTATCGCTGTTAACTCCATGAAAGATTACAGCCTCCCTACTCGTCAAAGGCAAAGGTTTTAAAGTAGACAAACAAATCTCCTGGCGACAAAATCGTCAAACACGAGAGATACTGAGCCACGACTACGGCTGTGGCGAAATAGCATACATCGTGACATCTGCATACGATAATCAAGGAAGGTAAGAAAAGGTCTACTCCCATTTGTGAGAACTCCCAATTGTGAGACTCCCAGTTATGAGACAGTGGAGTAGGTAATTAACAAAGAAAACACACCACACTCCCCTGTCTGATAGGATGGATTAACCCTAGCTAATTACTGATTTGCTATGTAACTGAATCTTGTGGAAGTCTTAATGAAACTTTATAAGATAAATTGATTCACATACACTTTGTGTAGGTAACTTCGTGATCATTGAAAGAGAAATTAATTTACCTACTCAGATTTACATCCGTCTCTGAAACTACAAGATATTGTTTAAGAAATAACTCTGAAATACATGTTTACAGTCGAACTGCCTCTTATGCCAAATCCTTTTTACCCGGCACTACCCGTTATAACCTGGATACCATTTTGAACGGAAACGAAAAAATTTACTTCTTGTGTAAACCTTGTGTAAACAACGCTTCAAATTTTCTCAGGAAAATACTTAAATTAACTCAACAACCTTCTCATGATTGATTTATATTCCTACAATAGCTTGTTAGACACACACAACTGTAACTCTCTAATTATGACTACTTAGAGAATAGTTGTATTTGATGTATACTTTAAAATATATTTATGCAATAGTCAATATCGATAGTCTAATCCTCCATTTCATTTTGTATTTTATGTTGCATGGGAGCGGTGTTAACATAAGCAGTAATACTTCACCAATCCCAATTCATTTTCATAAATAATAATAAAATATGTTTAAACCAAAATGACTTTCAAACTTCATAATAGTCTATTTCTTCTGTGTAAATAGAATCTTTGATAATCTATTTCATTAATCTACTCATCAATGACTCCTGTTGGTACTCTTCAACAACTGGGCTGATTCCACTTTCATTGTAGGGATGTGGAAACACCACCTATGTGCACCGAACCATTAATTAATGTGT